GCATAATTCTTGTTTCTTGCCTGCAGTCGCTTGCCAGCAAAAACAGAAATATACATATGTACGTTAATAAAAGTGCAGCGGCAATCCCAAGTGAATAAATACATAATAAAATAAAATACCCCCGCCCCCAGCCAAATAACATAATTATTTTTCGGTTTTCTTGGGTTTTTCCTTAGGTTTTTGGTTCAATCGTTTTTATTTTCTTGCTCTTCGAAATCCTTCTCTGCTTTTTTGACAAACATTCCTTTTGTTAATAATATCATTTCCTAAGCTGTTCCTTTCTTCCGGCTTCCGTTTCATTGCAGCAACAATTGCAGCATGTTGCAAAGCGTGTCTGTTATGTATTTGCGTAGTATTTTTTGTGTAATCGCCTTTGATAACTAGAATTTATTATAATATAAATTGATTTTCATTGTTTCTTTTTAACAGGGGCTAATTTTTTGTATACAATCTCTTGTTGAAAAATATAAACAATTTTTTAGCTGACTTTATTTTTATATCATTTCATCAACGTTTTTTCATAGTATTTTTCATTGTTTATTCAAAATAGACAAACAAAAAATCGTGTCTTTTTTTCATTTCTTTGAATGCGAATTGTCTGTGTTGTTGTTGTCTGAGCGTGCTGGCCGGCAGCCGCCAAAACTGCTAGTTTCAAAAAAAAAATACGAAAACTAGAATATACCACACACAAAATGGAACAAAATACCAAACAAAGTACCAAGAAAAAATTATTTAACAAAAATTTATGAATAAAGAACAAATTTTATTTGCTTTTCATTTCGCTTTTTCGCTTATTCGCCTTTCGCCTTTAGTTTTTGTTTTATGTTTTTTTTTTGTTTTTGTTTGCATCTCGCATCCCCCGCTTTTGTTTACAAACGATAATTAAGTATAATTAAGGGGTTCCGTGGGTCTCTGGGGACGGGGGATGTACATACATACATACACATGTATGCGGGTAGAATTGGGAGGCTATTGCGGGGCTCTTTTTGACAACATTTAGAGACTACGATAAGAACTAAACACTAAACTAGATAAAATGTACAATTACATAAATAATAGCTCACAAAGTGCATTTCTAGATCGAACGAAAAAAAAACAATAACTTTTTTTGATTAGTTTTTACCTCCTTAAATCTTAGAAAAAATTTACTAAGCGAAGACAATAATAAAAAATAACGTAATTATATAGTGGCTAAATAATATATGTATGTTTATATATATATAATATATGTGTTTGTTTGTGTGTGTGTGTTGTGTCTGTGTGTGTGTGTGTATGCAAGTATTATCATATAACGCTTCATAATAGGTTCTATATAAACATTTACAATTGTAGAGGAAGGACACCTCCGGCGGGGGTGTTTTCCTCTTTTTTAGTATTTTTTTTATTTATTTTTTGTTTGTTTTTGTCGCAGAATATGCATTTGTTTTTGCTGCTTCCTTAATTCCCTCTGATTTCTCCTTCTCGTTCGTACTCTGCTTGTTTGTTTTTCTCTTTGCTTTAACAATGTGCGATTTTACAGTTTTGTTTCTCATTCTGTTATCCTGCATCCTCTCGTCCCGGATATGCTTGTAGCACAGTGGTATAACGGTTCGTTCTCTTCTCAGCATCTTACACGTGTCGCTCTCTATCTCTCTATTTGTGGGTGGGGGGTTACCAAATGTTTTTTTTTTCCTCGAAACCGAAAAGAATTTCTCTTAACAAATTGTACTATTCACATATATGTAAATATATATATGTGAGTGTGTGTATATTCTCTTTTGTAAAATAGATATAACAAATTATTAACAACAAAAAAAAAATCGGAAATCGATCCAATTGGAGCGAAGGAGCTAGAACGAACATAATCGTAAGCATTCATTATCATTATAAGATATTCTCAAGTATGTTTTGGTTTATGTTTTTTCTGTTTCTGTGTTTTCTGTTTAAAAACGTACTTTTTCTTCTTTTTGCCTAATTAAAAATACTAAAGAAGCGCGCACCGCAGCCCTTGGGTCAGGGGTGCAGGGCCGTCAGGGCCGACACGTGGCGGCACTGACGGGCCAGGGCCCAACCCCAGGGCGCCCTGTGTCGGGCAACGAAGGAAACTATTTTCTCATTTGCAAATCGGAAATTGCTCTTGGCTCTTGGCTCATGGCTCTTGCTGTTGTTGTAGTTGTTATGTGGGGGACCCGGACATGTCTGGGATGCAGCAGTTTCGGAGCACTCTCTCTCTCTCTCTCTCTATCTCTCTCCGATATCTCGCCTACTTTTTGCTGTTGACGATGTCCTCGCGACAGGCGACGGCCGCGACGAGCGCTGCCCCACGGCCGGAACCATCCTCGGAGAGCATGAGGTCGAACGTGATGCCGGGTTTGATCAGCTTCGTGATCTTCTCCACCATCAGATTATGGAACTTGGGATGGAAGCGGTACACACTGCCGTCAACGCCCACCGTCACATGGGGCTCGTCCATTTTGTTGATCAGCGTTGCAATGCCGGCAGACACGAGATGGGCGGCTCGCTTCGAGACGCACTCGCAGATGTAGCGCACGTTGGCACAGTCGCCATCGGTGGCATTGGTCAGACCCAGCTCCTCGAACACCAGGCGGCAGTTGGTGAAGGTGCCTGGCTCGTCCGCCTCGATCTCGCTGACGTACTTGGTGAAGAAGAGGCCGCGCGTGTTGAGTACCTCGGAGTCCTGGCCTTTGAACAGAATGCCGGCGTGCGTCATTTTAACAAGAACGAGGCGCACCAGCTCGCCCATGTACATGCCGGAGATCATCTTCTCGAAGGTCTGCTTGCCGGGATTAATGCTGTGGCTGTCGATGTCCTGATCGAACTCGGTGCGCACAAAGTCGAGGGCGCCATTGTCGCCGAACGCCCCCCACTCGGTGTTGATGAGCACATGGGGCTTGCGGTTGCCCTGGGCGTCGAAGAGTTCCGCCTCCTCAACCCGCTCTACGTAGCAGGCATTTGAGCCGGTGCCGACGATAAGGCCGATTCTGCAGTGGTGATTCTTCCAGGCGCAGCTCATCAGAGTGCCAGTGGTGTCATTGAGGATGGCACATACGTCGATCTGTACGTCGCCGCGACGTGCGATCGCGTCCTTCAGCAGCTGCACCACATCCTCGTTGACAACGCCGGCGCAGTTGAAGCCCTTGGTCCATGTCTCCAGCAGGCCGCAGGTGAGGCCCAGCTGGCGCAGCGGGAACGAGAAGGTGAAGCCGAGAGGCAGTCGCTCCGCGTACACATTGTGCTCGGCCATGAAGTTGGAGAGGCACTCGGCGATGTGATCGAATAGTTGGGTGCCCGAGCCGATCATGATGTGCTGGGGTATCGCGTAGATGCGTGACTCCATCTGGAAGTCGTTGTTCTCCTGCAGGTGGATCAGCAGCACCCGGAAGTTGGTGCCGCCGAGGTCAAGGGCTAGGAACTTGCCGCGCTCGTCCCCATTGGGCAGGTCCTGCACGTAGGTCACGAAGCACTTGACATTCGCCTTTGGGTGCGTGTCCTTGGCCAGGCCGCGGCGAATCTCGTGCAGGATGCGGTAGCACAGCTCCTGCACCTGCTCGTCTGTGAGCAGAAGCTGCTGACATAACTCGTGCACCATTTTCTTTTTCTCCGCGTCACTGGCCCCGGCTAGACCCGACAACGACGCTGCTTCTGTGGCTGTGGATGCGAACGATGCCGCCGCTGGGATTGCTCTGGCCGCTGCAGCGGCTGTCGATGCATTTGTCGCTTTGCTTACGGCGCTGGCGGCGTCCGATGCAGATGCACTCAAGGCGCCCTCCGCCGCCACCCGCCGCACATTGTCCGGCTCGTCTTTGCTATGGCCGTTCAGATGTGGTGTGGCCGCCAGTCCGTTGCTATTTATAGACACGCTCCGCATGGCCCCGTTCAACTCCTGGTCCATCTTTTCGGCACTCTAACGGACAGTTCTGGCAGACGTCTCACTACACCCACACCAGCAAAAAAAATAACAGCGAAAGAGACACACAAAAATCCACTCAAAAACCGATTCGATGCGATTTTCGACTCGCGACTGCAACGCAATTATTTTGTACTTTCTGTTACTTTTTGGTTTGCTTCAGTTTTGTTTTCCTTTACTTTTTTTTCTATGTTGCTTGTGGTTCCGCTTGCCGATTCTCGATCTCTCCGTCGCTTCTGCCGTTTTATTTTTGTCCGCTGCACGCGTCCGGTTGCTGCGAGAGTTTGTTCACAGTTGAATCACTTGCGTTCGCTAGTCACTATGCTCTGCTCACTGTCGCTACCGCTGCCGCTACCGCTGCCGCTACCGCTGCCGCTGCACAGTGGGCGTTGTATGTGTGCATGTGTATGTGAGAGAGTGTATTTGTGTGTGTGCGTCGTGAAGGAACCTTGAAGGTCAAAAACTGAAAATTAGTATTGGGGCGGACAAGTTGGAGATATGGCAAATGTACATGCTAACATACATACGAACATTTGTATGTACACATATCGGAGACTAGCCAACTACGTAGCGATATGAAAAATGCCAGAGAGACCGCCACACCATGAATAAGTCAACTTTGCGTTCATGCGAAGCCTCATCGTGATCTTTGGAGCAATATTCAAACTCGATGTTCAATAAACAAGTACATTTTACATACATTCCGATATAGAATCAATTTTTTTACACATATGAAATAATACATTGAAATATTACATTGGGTGTGCCACTGCGTGGTGTATGTATGTACATATGTATGCCGCATGAACCGAGTTCAATAAGGGGAGGCAGACAGCACAGCTGGACGAGCTGCTCTCCCTCTCATGAGAGAGCCGACTGTTGTCGTCGTCAGCAAAAACGGTAAGCACTACCCTACCGCAGGTATGTTGTATTGAATTGACAAACGATTTGCTTTGAGCACTACTACTTTTCAGGCATACATACATATGTACATACGATTAAGCTGCGCGTTAACTGGAAATTGAAAGCTTCGCTTCTACCTGGATTCGATCCCGCTTAACAAGCCCGGTATGTCTTGGCCAATTGATGGCGCATTAGCATTGAAGGGCATTCAAATGAAGCTATGGTCGAAAGGTTTTCTTTGGCTGCGTGTTGAGCCGTCCCAGCCCTCTCTCCTTTCAAGCACAAGCTTTTATGCTCTCTTCTGGGCAGCTCGTAGCTGGCTGCCTGGTTGTATAACAGTTCAAAAGAGCTGTCTAGAGAGAACAAGTTTGCATAGCTGTGGCCAACACACTCCCCCCCTTGCCGACCACGGCCTGAACCAACGGAAAGTCTGGTGGAATTTGGACGCGTCAACATCCTCCGCCTTGGGTATTTTCTTGTTCTTGCTTCTACTGCCCGTGCCCGTGGGCTCGTCTCGCACTCTGCCGAGGGCCGGCCGTCCGCGCAACCCCCCTCTGCACCAACAAGTGATTTGTTGTTGTGTGTGTTAGTGTAAGAAGGTACGTGCCAAGAATCTTGCTCCAGCGCAACAACTGAGAGGCTCTCTTTGATTGAGTTCACTCTCTCCCGCTCTCCACCCAGGTAGGCACTAACATACGACTTTCAATGGAATTTTGTTGTTGTTGGTTTTACTGCCAACTGGATTTTCATACATGCATATGTACATACATATGTACATACATATTCATATGGTCTATTCGTTTGGATTTCATGAAAGTTGCGGCATATTAGCAATGCCCTTATGATGTTGGTATACTATTGGATATTATTTTTCTTCTGGTGCATTCTTCATTGGCCCCCAAGAGGCTCGTCAAATAATGCAACAACTACACATGTAATTACATATGTACATATGTATATGTATGAATGTGTACATGTAGAGAGAAAAAGAGAGTATATGGGTTTTTGTGTGTTTGCCTGTGTAGGCATTTGGGCTTTATAACTGTTATACAGGCTTCCTAACACACACTAACAATCCATTCACACACGCCTTCCTCTGACTAAACCCGTGAGAGCGAGATGACGTCTGAGCAACAACTACAACTCCCACTAGCCCTTACCCCCCCGACCATTCACCTTCAGTGGCTGCTGCACGTGTCTTTTTGAATGATTTCGCCATCAAAACAATTATTTGTTTACACCAAATGGTTAATACCAAAACAAAGAGAGAATGAGGCCGATGCCAGAAATTGCACGAAATTGTTTGCAACTTTTGTCGGAACCGTCTAGATCGGTACACTATACTATTGCATACTATATTTTCCATAGAATTGATTTTTCGAAAAAAAACAATTTTTTTTAACGGTGCTCCACACTGAAAAAATTATATCGCTATATTTCATTAATTACATGCAATTTTGCATATTGAAAAATTTGAGTTGGCTTGCATTTCTTATTTATCTGAATTCGGTGCTGTGTGTGTGTGTGTGTGTGTGTGTGTGTACATTAAAACTGTAACAAAACCCCCAGACGGGGAGTGGTCTTTGTTGTTTTTTGTGGAACCTCTTATCGGCAGCGACGGAAATTGCTTTGGTCGAAATCTCGTGAGTGGAGGGTGTGTGGGGGGCGTGTGTGTGGGTGGGCTCGACTGGCTGAAAAGAGAGGGAGTGCAGTACGTTTTTATATTTTGCCAAAGCAGAAATTCGTACGCTGCACATAGACCTTAGAGAGGGGGCGAAAATATCTGATGGATACTACCGTACTTCTTTTCCATTTGATCCAAAAACTATTATGTTCTATTATTCCTTATTTTAGGTCAGCGGTAAATCGGTACAGTGCATAAACATTGATACAAACAAGCGATACAATTGATACTGCATGATGAGTCAGCGGCGTTGAACGGCTGAACATTGAACGATGGACAGGCGCCCCCGCCCCCAATAACGCGTCGGAAGATATGGGGTTCCAGGAATCCCAATCGCCATCCCCGTTCCTCCCCTCCCTCCTGCCAACCACGCCCTCAGTATTTCGTCAGAAAAGCTTGAGCTTACAACTGTCCTACGAGCACATCCTGTGTCACCTTCAACTGTCATACGCGGACGACGGCGACGTCGCTGCCCGCTGCTGCTGCTGCTGCCTGCTGTTGATGTTGGCAGCGGCCTGTGCAGAGAGTATTCGGGAATCCAGTTTTTGGGGGCTCGCCCCGTCACACACAAAGCCACATAGTGTGCTGTATATGTATGTACATATACATTAACTTATATATATATATGTATATGTATGTATGTAGATGTTTGAGTGCGAGGGGTTGCTTTTGCGCTTGTCCGTTTGTTACATATTACAAACATATTGTACATAATATATACAAAATAATTGATTTTTTTTAGTATTTTATCGTGGGTATTACATATACATATGTATGTACCTACTCTTTGAGTGTGTGACGTCAATGATGATGACGTCGCCGAAGCAGCATCGTCTGTCTGATGAAACGCAACCCACTCAGCCTCTGCCTCAGTCCAGAGGTCAATGCAGCGACAGAGCGACGCAGCGGCTAATGACAGAGAGTGGAAAATTTGTGAAAATCACAAAAACTTAGAGTGGATGGGTGGCAGAAAGAGAGATAGATAGAGAGAGCGAGAGCGAAAGCGAGATGCTATCCGGCCTTCGCTCATGAGGAAAAGTCATTAATTATAATACTTATTGTATTTGGCAAGCCGTAAATAAACTTCACGTGACGCTCGAAAAACGCGGAAAACACACATAAAAAAGCCAGAATACAGAATGCGAAATCCATTTTTAAACGCAGCAGATCATAAAAAATGGTTCGGCCCGCCTTAGATTGGCTGTCGTTGGTGGTTGGTAGTTGGGGGATTTTAGGTTTTAGGTCTCAAGGAAAATATCGGACCATCTTCTTTCTCTTTGCGTCAGCTGGAGCGCGTTGAGCAAGGTCAATGGAAAGGCAGAAGGGATTGGCGTGGCAGGGGGCAGGAACGGGAAGGCCAGGGACGCAAAAATAAACTTCGACAAGGTCAAATTCGTATAACAGTTAATGCCTCAGCTCTTTCACACCTCCACGCTCAGATACGCGCCTGATCTGCCGGAGAAACGAGTTTATCTGTCGGATAAGACGACACAATGGAATCCAAAAACTGGTTGGCATATACCACTGATAATACGAATAGTACTACTACCAGCTAGAGTGTATCATATATGTACATACTTATATATGTACGTATGTATGTAAATTGGGGCCTTGCCTTGGAAACATTCGCTTTTAATTTCGACAACACGTTTCAGACACATTAATTTCGGGGGGCCGTGAACTATAGTATAAGGCGAGATTAGAGTATACCCAGAGATCGGGCGACACCACCCCAGCATCAGTCGATTTCCATGTGGTGGTTCGATGTCGAGTCCATGAAAGTCAGTCAAGGTGCGCGCACAATTCAAATTCAAATGCAGGCCAAGCAGTGCTAGGGTACAAGTATTTCAGTATGATGGTACACGGTACATTTTGACGTCGAAATTGACGTGAAGGTATATTTACGGTATGTCGGTATATAATGCTATACTTCATCAATTCAATCAATCTAGTCTATTAAATTTGAAATCATATATGTACATATGTCCTTGTCACTAAAAGATATCGTGGTCTGTTTTTATGTAAATGGAGGATAGGATGGACCTACAACGGTAACTATTATTATTATTTTGAGTATTATTTTCCGCTGTTTAAATCAGGGGGCTTAAATGGGCTACGTCCGGTATATTTAAATATTAACGATTTTTCTCCTACGATTTATTTGTTTGACCTTTTTGCCAAAAAAACCTTTTTTAGGCAAAATGGCTTACGCTTAAGTTACCTGAACGCAGTGCTCATGTTCAGCAAAATGCTGCAACGCTATTTTAGCAATTCAAAGGATCCTTTGATAGCCCATAAAATAAGTAGCGACAGATTGGAGTCCTTGGGCACAGCCCTTGGGCCAAACATTTTTGAGCCCACAAGAGGAGCTTGGCCCGTGTATGGATGGTGGGGGATAATAATTTTACTGACCACTCCCACACCATGAATGATTTAAAAGACGAAATGGACAGCAGTGGACAAGGAGTGCACAGAGGAAAGGTGATACGAAAGACCGGATACGAAAGTGGAGGAATCATACTAGTCTTTGGTCGGCAAAGGTAACTACTCGCCTGGAATATATAGCTAGTAATATTCCACGGAATATAAAAATCGAGGAATATAGAACTTGAATTCGTCAGTATATTTACGATATATTTAAAAAAAAATACCGTTTATTTTGGTATATTTCTGAGGGTCGGACGGTATATTTTAACGATAAGTCCGCGATCACACTGGCGTTTACAGTTATTTAAAAAAATTCTGCATTCTGCGCTCCAGTGCTAGTTGGTTTTTTTTAGGTTTGTAAACAATGGATAAACTTTTAGAGGATTGGTCAAAGTGGAATCCCATGGCCTTGGATTATTACGACGAATCCCTTAATAATTATGCCGATGAGTCTGGCCAAAATGTGGTTGAGAAAGCGCAACTACCATTGAAGCCGAGCGACATGCGTAAAAAGAAGCAAACGGGCGCTGCGAACGCCGAATATCCGTATCTGGTTCTAAGGAAAAAAATAAGATTTATTTCCACGTGCTCTGTGCTGAATTTCTTTGGCCAAAGTCATGTCCGCTGCATCGACTTTAAGGCTAATTCGGGCAGATTAACAGTTTTCTTCAATGACTTGGGGTAGGTAGGAATGGCTGTATGCGAATCCATGTTTGCTAAATGTGCACATTTTTATCTCGCTGCAGCTCCTTAGAGGCTGCACACTGCCAACTGGAAGAATTTCCTTTATTATTGCAGGTGCAACGAAGCAGGATCGGTGGCGGGGAAAAGGCCAAGTCCATGGTGAGCGCCGCCAACCAATTACCCGATCCAGTTAATCTTCCAGCACTAGTGCCAACTGCTCGGGGCCCAATCGACTTGAAATCACGCACTATACACTTTTCGGCCAGCGCAAATATGCATCCAGAGTTCATAGTAGTTCCAATCGTGGATGCTACGTCCTATAAGTACGGCTCTCTCCTGGCAATTGGAGACGTGGAGAAGCGCTATAGGAGTGTTAAGTTCGAGCATAACTTGGATCGCCACGGGGCCTATGTACTTGAGAGACAATATGAAGAGGAAACGTTGACCAAGCCGCTGATCCAAGAGCTTCGTTTTGGGAGAAAATTGTTTAAGTAAGTAAATAAAGGCCTGTATCAACGGGGAAGCCATTGGGCTGGCAGTCGTTTAAACAGACCTGAAACGTATGATTTTGTACAATACTCAATCTTTCAGGAACACGGATGTAGATGATGTGGATGAAGATGATAACGAGTGTATAGATATGTCTGGATACGAAAAATGCGTGGTCTGCAACGGTTACACATCCACTGTGTGTAAAATTTGCGATATGCCCTTTTGCGATGCGTACTGCTGGGGCATTGTCTCCCAGCAGCACGATAGCAAATGCGGCAGTGGTCAGAAAGTGGATATTAATGATGAGGATTTCAGACAATTGATTCCCAAGTCTGGTTTGCCGTCAAAAAATTCCATGGTCACGATTACTGCCTTCGAACGGTCGAATATCGTGTATGTGCGCCCGGCTGATTTCCTTTCTGAACTGGCCTACTACCGCGTGCTCGCTGAGATCAGGAAGCATGACAAAGATGTACCCAAGCTTGACCAGCTGCCGGTCTGTGGCCAGATGGTCCTCTATAAGTTCGAGGGACAAGTTGTACGGGCCATGGTGCTGAATGTTGACAATCCGAAGGACATATGCGTAGTCTCCGTTGATTTTGGCAGCGTTGAATACACTGATCCGGGGAACCTGTATCAGTGCAGCTCTTATTTGAGTGATTTGCCGCGCTATGCTGTTCCTGTGAAGCTTCGCGGCGTACCAAGGCGCGCCTTAACTCCAACTTTGCGGGATGTTATGTACGCAATGCAAGGGTCCTCCGCTACTTTTGAACTAAGGTACCACAAGCACGAGTACGACCATAAAAACAAAATGCAGACGGCAGTGCTATGGTGTATGGAGGAAAATAGAAGCATTAACAGCCTGCTTAGGAAAGTTATAACACCCGTGGAGCCCGCTTTTCATGAGCCCGGGTTCAATGAAGATGTAAGATGTACAGTTCTATCAGAATTACGGCTTTTCAAAATCTGATTTTCTCATTAGTTTCTGCCGCATGTGGCTGAGAAACCAGGGAAGAACATCGACTTGATTGTCACGGACAACTCGTTCCTAAAGTACGGCATCATCTACTGCACCCCCGCAAAATTGGCAGTGGAGATCACGAAAATGCAGCAAGCGTTCCAGGACTATGGAGAAAATATTGCCAAAGCTGACACCTATGCCGCTCCGTAAGGACCCAACCGGAGAGAGAGAGAACTGCTTGAACAAATCCTTCATCAAATTGAATTCTTTTTGCAGGAAAGGACAATTGTGCGTTGCCAAGTATATGGGAAAATGGTGTCGCGGTGTTTCGATGGAGCTTGTAGGTGATGGCTATCCCAGCATCTTGTTCCTGGACTATGGAAATATTGTGCCGATCCACGTGACGGATATCCGTGCATATCCGCAGCAGCTAACGTACCCCGTATTGACTACGGAATACGTTTTGATGGGTAAATTGAGCGAGTGCTTCAATACAAACCAAGATCTAAGTGTCTAATTTCTATCTGTATCTCGTGCTTAGGCGTGCCGGAAATCCTCACCGATGCGGAGGTCAAGCGTCTCGAGAATCGTTTCGCTTTGGGTGCCATTGTGACCTGCGATGAGATTGTGAAGAATGAAGAAAACAACTACTCCCTTCGCTTTGATGATCTGCAGGAGCATCTATAGCAGTAGCACACAAAACGGAACATTTTATTGCTGCCCAACTACTAGTAAATTGTACAGTTGCTGTGCACAAAGACAGGGCATAATGCCATATAATTCCATTATATACAGAATTTCTGTATAAATCTTCATTGTATACAATACAATCAATACAAAATAACAAAGAATAAAAAAAGAACGCTATAGGTTTTCCCTATTTTTCATTCACACCAAAAGTATAATGTGCGCCAATCTAAAGCCTCAAATACCGTTATATTTTATCGATAAGTCCGCTCGCGGCTGTGACGAAAAAATGAGTCGTAAATTTGATTGGGCTATAAAAAGGGGTATGGACAACAGGCAAAACAAGACAATGCAAATTTCACGGCTGGTACGGACCTCACCTCGCGTGTGTGGAAAACATACCTTGAACACAAAGTCGGTTTTTTTTTATATTGGGTATGTTCATGGTATATTGGGAAAATGGGGTGGATTTTACCCTGCAAGCGTTGGCTTTTCTTGGCCGTGTTGCCTGTGCCCACACCCTCTTTTTCGTTCCATTATGTAGAAACAGTGTAGTAACCGTGTACCGTGTAGAGTTTTTTCTCCATAAAGAAAAAAAACGCGGCTTAATGCAATTTTTCGATGCTCGTCTGCAAAACATGCATTTTTGATTAGGAAAAAGAAGGAGAGACAAGTGCAGTCAGACACACATACAGTGACAGTCGGACCACAATTGCAGTGCCGTGCGGGGTACGAAGAAAGTGCGCATTTCACACAAAATCGCCGTTCATTTAACCGACCTTATTGATAGTTATGTGCATACATACACGCATGTACACATACACGGGCTAGAAAAACCAACCACCATCGCACCGCAGCCGCAGCAGCCCCACCAACAAACAGCATCGCTCACCCACAGGAAGAGACGAGGAGGAGGAGGCAAATGTAAGAACTATTTGCTGTAAATTTCATTCATGAGCCGCCGCCGACGCCGCCACCGCCGCTGCTGCTGCTGCTTCTCATCAACAATAACTGTTTATGTGTGTAAAGAGCGCCCGGCTTCCCCATGGCTGCGGCCTAGGGCCCCTGTCTAATAGTTATTTTTTGTGTGTGTTTGTTGTCAAGTGCTATTTCTTGTTCCGCTTCCAGGGTTTTGTATGTCAGAGTTGGGTGCTCTCTATTTTTTTTTCTATTTCTAATTTTTTTGCAAAGCCTGCATATGCATGTATCCGTGTGTGTCTGTGTTTGTGTGTATAATTGCATTCTTGCAGCTCATGTTTTTTCTTCTGAAAAAAAATCGATAGCGCGTCGTCGGTTGTTTATTTAATGCATCGTCTGCAATTTCCAGCCCCTTTCTCTCGCTCTTTCTCTCTCTCTCTCTCCATCACACTCCCGCTGCAGCTGTAGCAGCTAGCAGCGCACCCCTTTTGGCTCAGCGCGCGCGCACACGCACACATCAACGCAGCCACAATGCACAGTTATACACAAACACACCAGCGGACCAGATAGCAATTCCAGTGATACGGGAAATTAAAAAATAATCTGTTTTTATCAGTGGTATGCAAAAGCCGAAGAACGAAGAGAACAATTCCAACAACCATTTTTGCCGTGGCCATAAAAAGAAAACAATTGGCCGTGGAGGGGTGGGGCTGCGAGGAGAGGGTTGGGGTTTAGGCAAAAAAGAGTTTTCCATTTTCTCGTTTCTTCTGCCTTGTGGCAGTTTTTTTAGCAGCGGAAATATTGGGGTTTCTTGTCTCGCGCCTTTGCTTCTTTTCTCCAACATTCTTACATTTTTGTTTTTGTTTTTGTGGCTTGGGTTGTGTTCGTTTGTTTTGTGTTAATGCAGAAAATAACGGTTAATCCAATTAAGCAAACTAAAACGAGAATCGTCGGCCAGGTCGAACTGTGGATGCCCTAACACACGGCTCGAAGCGAAGCTTCTCTCCCACTCTTCCAATGATGCACCCCGCTGGATGGGTGGAGGCCTATGCTCCGCTGCGGGCAGTGTAGCGCAGCTCCAGCTCGACGGCCAGTCCGTCGCAGTTCCAGTCTCAGTTTTGGTGGGTGCGCGGCCGGGTCAAGTCTTACATAGGAAACAGCAGTAGCAGCAGCGGCAGCCACAGAAGGGAGGACGTGAACCTCATATCATGCACTAATGCACATAATGCCATTTGCAGCGCTAAGGTCACCAGAGAATGGAGTCCCAACCGAAGCGGCCCTCGTTGCATTTAGTGGCAGAAGCTGGCACAGGATCAGGCGTGGGTGCTGCAGCCACAGCTGAGATGTCGGGCGCATTTTCCCCCACCTCGGGCTTCCTGCCGGACATGCCGCAGTGGAAGAAGGACCTGATACAGCGCCGCAAGACGAACGTGGCCCGCACCCAGGCGGCCGCCTCCCCCACAGCTACGTCCGATGCGGATGTGGCCTTGGGGGAAACAGGAGCAGGAGCAGGAGGAGGCGCCAGTGCAGGTGAGTGTTCGATGATGTCTCGCAGCTTACACAATCTGTGCATTAATTGTGATTGCAAACCGTTTGTTTTCTGTTTTTGTGGGTAAACAATAATTGCCAGCTGTTTGTTATCTAAAACGAAATCGGTAATTCCATTTGAATTAGCCGCGCTCAGCTATCGATTGCGCCTGAGTCAGCAGCAGCCCTGTGGTGTGTATCGATATGTGTGTGGCATATGGCGTGTGGTGTGTGTGTGCGCACGGGGTGGTGGGTTGGCCGGCAGCGGCAGAATCGAATCTGAAATTGATATGGAGATTATAGCCTCTTCTGGTCCACTTCTTTGCAGAACCGACTGCGACTGAGGCGACGATCACTAGTCAACCACAACAGAAGCCGCTGGCAAAGAGAAATGTAAGCCAGACAGCAGCAGCAACAGCAACAGCGACGGCAACAGCACATATACAAATGCAAACAGCGCTTAAGACTACACCAACAGAGGAAAAGTCTGAGAAATCTTTTATTGGAGGTCATCATACCCAACAGCAGCAGCAGCAGCAGCAACAAGGCAAAGACTCGTCAGCAGCGTTGGCCTTTTCAATTTCAGCTGAAACAACGTTTGGGCCACAAATACCAATACCAATACCAAAGCAGCGATCAAGTTTATTTAACACAAGAAGTCCATCAACAACAACAACAACAACAGCAACCAGCAGCAACAGCAACATCAGCAGCAGCTCCAGCAAGGAGCCAGAGATTCTAAATTTGGATCTCAGAGAGCGTGAGAGCGAGCAGCGGGAGCGGGAGCGAGAGCGAGAGAGCGAACGCGAGCCGGGAGAACAAGTTGACTCCATGGTGAGTTGCCGCTCTCGCGGCGGCGGTGGTGAAGTTGAAACTGGCACAGCGGCAGCAGCGACAACTGGAGCATTAACAGCTATCGACGCCAGCAGCGGCGCAGCGCCAACATCGTCGTCGTCAGCAAATCACTTGCAAACGAAACTTGGACAGACCGTTTCAGAAGGGGCTCCCAATCAGACGAGCTCCACCGCGAAAGAAAAAGAACTGCAGGTAGCCGCAGCAGCAGCACCAGCACCAGCACCAGCACAGTCGTTGGTTCTTGTTGATAATAAAAACGGTTCGAAGACAAAGCTCATTTCCGATAAATTGCAGAGCAATAAGTTTATAAAACAACAGCAAGAACAGCAACAGCAGCAGCAACAATTGTCGCCCACCAAATCAACGGTAAAACCGACAATGGTCGCCATGCAAGAAATGAAAAAGACAACAAAACAAAATGGCCAACATCGTCACATCGCGAAGAGCAGCAGCAGCCACAGCCACAGCGGCGACCCAGAGGCTGCCTCCGGAGTGGCCCTGCCGGAGCTGGTGGACACCGGCGAGGACCTGAGCTACGGCCCGGGGATCGTGTCGAAGCTGCGGTGCCGCTACCTCAGTCTGGCGCTGCGCGAGTCCCACCAGCAGAGCCAGAAGCAACGCCTGCAGCGCTCCACCAGCCTCAACACGCTCCTCGATCGCGACGACGATGAGGAGGAGATGAATGCCAATGCCGGTCTCGAAGTGGTCTCGACCCGGGCCAAATCCACACCGCCGCCGATACTGGGTGCGAAGCCGACGATGCTTGGCGGTGGCTACATCAAGGGCGCCCAGGCGCCTGTCCAGCGTCCCGTTAGTCTGGGCACCAATGGAACAACCCCCGCCCTGTTCCCGCTGAACACCGAAGATCCCACAAAGCCCACCAACGGAGGAGGAGGAGTGACCCGATCGCGGCACTTTAAGCGCGGCAATGAGGTAATGAAACGGGCCCGGTCCGTGGAGGCACTGCTCTGCGAGAAATCGCCGTGGAATACGCAAAGAGCCAGCTACCAGGCGACAAGCATGGCCATGGCCACGACACCACAAGCCGTCTCCCCGGGCGCCGCATCGCCCACCTGCGTCACCATCGAGGACAAGATCCACAATGCCCGCGAGCGACTGCACAGTGGCACGGACCCGGCGCCGCCCAAGCGCCTGACCTCCATTATCGACGACACCGAGCGCCCGCCCCCGGATCTGGTCAAGCAGACGCTGAAGATGTTCGAGGCGAGTGCCAATCGCCGGCCCCGCGCCACCCACCGCTCCAACGGAGTGGGCGGTGTGGCCAGCAAGGTGGCCAACTACAAGTCGATCCTCAAGGAGCAGCGCCCGACGGCACCCACCGTGGCCAGCACACCGCCATCCCTGTCCCGGCGTGAGCCCGGCCAGAGTGTGGGTTTTGCTGCCTCCACCCCCAAGCAGGCGCCACGCTCGGCATTGATCTCCGACAGCATCATCAGCAGCAGCAGCAGCAGCAGCACACCCCATCCCCATCCCCATCCCGATATCATTCCCCGGCAGCTGGCCAGCGTTGTGGACTCGCCCGTTTCCGCGCTGAGCCTCATGATGGGACGCATCAATCTGCAGGAAGCGGATGGCGAGTCAACGGTGGCGGCGTCAGCTGTGAATGAGAGCTTAGTCAGCGAGGCCAGAGCAGCGACGGCATCGGCGCCAAACAACGAAGCGAACTACGCATACGAGAATGAGAATGAGAATAATGCCAGGCACGATGTTGGCAACGATGGGGATGACGACAACACCACCAACGACAACAACCGCAACGACAGCAGCGACAACAATGGGCACGATGGCGATAATATGGGCGCGGCAGGCGATAAGCTTAAGCCCCCCACATGCACAGCAACGACGACGACGACGGCGACAGCGGCGGCAGGAGGAGCCCAGCGATCATTCGTTGCCACGATCGAGAGCGCGCACGTTCCCAGTGGAAGTAATAACGCAAGAAAACAACTGAACAACAGCGAGACGGGATCGGGATCGGGATCGGGATCTGGGATAACGACAACAACAACCAAACAGATTGGTGTGATACGGCCGCTCTTCAATAGCAGCAGCGGTACGACACAGCAGCTAACCAGTCGCGAGATCGAAAAGAATCGCATTAATGAGATGAAAAAGTCCTCGGCTCTGGCCAACGATGGCAGCTCCGGTGCGGGTTCGCCCATAACTAGTCTGGACACGGTGATAAATACGATACGGGATGGTAGCGAAACGGACGCGGCCACAGCCTCGCCCCTGTGGACACTACGCAAGCTGCGTCACGGCCATGCAGCCGGTAGCAATTCTGGTCATCATGCGGCAGGAACGGCGGCCACTTCCAGCCATTCCACGGAGAACACCTCGATGGTGTTCAATTTTTCCAAGAGCAGCAAAGAAGTGCCCGACTACATTGAAAGCGATGTTGTGATCTATAGGCGTAAACGGGAATTGCCAAAGGTGAGTGTGTGCGGGTGCAAATAGTACATTAGTGGGAGTGGGAGTGGGAATGAAAGTCCCGTGCTCTTTTGCATGATAGTACCAGGAAATGGGAGTGGGAGTGAGAGCAACAGAGGGTCGTCTCGTCTTCATTACCTTTCCCTTTTAATTGGAAAAAGCGTCCTCTCATTCCCTTGAACAGTGTCGCCTTATCAGAGCAGGTGTGTGCGTGTGTGTGTGTGGGTGCGTGGGTATGGAATGCGGCGCCCTTGCGGATTATTCATACTTAATTACTTTGTGAATTATTATTTTCTTGATAATAATTTGGTTGCTGTCCCCAATATCTTTTTGTTATTATGGTTTTATTTTTCCATTTGTTTGTCTGTTTTTTGCTGTTGTTTTTTTTTTGTGTCATACGGCAGCCATACCATATAAACAAACATACACAGACACAGACACACAGAGTCGCAATCGGGTAGAAGGGAAAAAGAGCAAAGCAGAAGCTTACACACACACAGCCAGCGATCATGCGCATTTCGAAAGTTCAACTAGGCAGAGCGAGAACAACAACAAAAGCTTTGTACCTCGGAGCTGGGATACTCTTTCCCAGCAGCGCAGCGGCGGCTCAAATGTTCTTTCTGGTTCCCAGGCGAACCATTGGTGTGTGTGCACACAGAATACATACACTCTTTGCACTCTTTCATTGATCTTCTGCCAAGAGTCAATTAGAATTTGCCTTGAATCTCTCATTCTCCGATCGATGGATATGTACACACATACATACATATGTCTATATAAGTATATATGTATATGGATGCATGTGTGATTTCCCAGACGTTTTTTCTTTGTTTAAAGCAAAATGCAAGTTTTGTCTCTCCTTCGTCCCTGGCTCCCAACTCCTCTCTCCACTCCATTCCATTCTTTTGCCTGCAGTTTTTGATTACATTGAGAAAGAAAAAAGTCAAAGTCTACGGTGGGGTGGAAGGGGGTGGGGGGGAGAGAAGGGAGAAAACCAGTTTTTATATCCATATGTACAACCACATAAAGATATTTCTACGTTTTGTTCTTTGCTTCCTGCAGCTGTCCCATGGAGACAAAGATTATGCTCAAGTACATACATATGTATATGTACATTATGTACATACATTCATACATATGTCTATATATAGTATATGCCTATACATACATATGTAGCTTTAGTTTTCAGAAGGAGCCTCTTTGAATGTCTCGACAGGGTCGGGCATGCAAGGCTTGAGACCTAAGGCTGCTGGAAAGAGCGACCGCACAGCTGTTTCTTTTGCAGCCATATTGCGATTGCCCTCTCTCTCGCTCTTCGCTGTTTTGCTCTCTCAGCTTTGACGGCGGCTTTAGCTTCCAGCTTCAGCTTGAATTGAGTTGAATTCTTCTTCCGCCCCGTTGCCCTCCCATTCCCTCCCTCACACCCAAATTTCCACCGGTTGCTGTTGTTGGCAAACCCGTTTAATGCCGTGTGCCGTTCCGTTCGCTCTCTCGCGCTTTGCCTCTGCCTCTGCCTCTGGCACTCAGCAATATTATTGGTGTCTTGTCTTCCATCCTTCTCGTCTCGTCTCTCTGGAAATGAACTCGATTTTTGTCAATTCTTTTTTGATGCCAGATTCTGTATGCCGCTGCCTTTGCGCTTGTTCTCTTTTGCTTTTGCTTTTTCCCTCTGCTGGCTGCACTGCATTTTATTATGCTTTGAAGTTTCGTTGTCTCTTTTTATCTGCTTTCGGAACTGCTTTTATCTCTTGTTTTTTTTTTTGGGGCCTGGCATATGGATTGAGGGGGTCGGTCGGCCACAGCCAGAAATGGGGCAAACGGGAATGGAAAGGAAATAAAACGGGGACGGTGACAGGGACAGGGACAGGGACACAGTGGGACGGGAAGGGAATGGAAGGCCAAAGCCATTAAGGCATCATCCATCCATATGTATATTCCGCAGGGCATGAATCACATAATGATGATGAAGCTTTCCATGAATTTCACTTTTTGAACTCATTTTCATATATGTATATGTATATATTTATTTCTTTGTTTCTTTCTCTTGTTTTTCCCCGCCCCCTACCCCTCTCTGCCGCCACAACAGCCAAATGAACCCGGCTTCGTGTTGCTGGGCGATCTATCGGTGGAGACCTCCACGGACACGGACTACGACGACTACTCCCTGTGCCCGCCCTCGCCGTGCGACGTGGAGTTCGAGAATGCCAACATTGTGATCGATGGCAAGTCCAGCATACGCCAGAAACCCAAAGAGTCAACGGTGAGTACACCTCGTCTCCCCGTCCCGACGAGATCTGTGATCTGTCGATGAAGTCATATCCTAGATATACCCGCACAAATATAGCAAGTGAGTGAGTGAATCAAACCCTCGGGAGCAGGGGACTCCCGTCTTGCATAAGGATTGTCCATGATTTGGCATAGATCGAGACTAGTAGCACACACAAGATCCATGACTCAATTGCGGTATCAGAGGCCCCCGACCAAAAGATACCATTGGTTCTTTCTTTTTCCAATTCAGTTTCCTATTTTTGTTTTGTTTTACCCTGAATGTGGGATAAGATAAGATTATTTTCCATATACGTATTACGTATACATACATAGAGTGTGGTGAGGGGTCGGTTGGGGGTGCTATACAAATGCGGTATTTGTTTTCTATCGAGTGAGAAAATTGGAAACCAAAATGGAATTCCTCCACGAATTTTGAACGGGTCGAAGGAACACAAAGCATAGCCAAAGCAGAGCAGAGCAGAGCAGACGACGATAAGACCGGTCTACGAAACGGGAATTTATGCTGTAGCCAGTGTCATGCTCTCCCTCTCCCTCTCCCTCTTACTCTCACTGTAGACTCCTTATCGGTTATCTGCCATTAATCAAACTGCATTAGTTTTGGGCTTTAGTTTCTTTGGGATTTGGTTTACTTTTTGTTTTATTTTCAATATTTTCCGGGTGCGTTTCATCAAATGTGACTGATATGATGGTCGCTCGGCCCACGGCCCAGTTCTTGTTCTTTAGACACATGTTCACAGAAATTGTAGGAAATGTGAAACCATTTTTTGTGCGGCTACCCCCCGATAAGGAATGTAATGTCATTGCTGACTCACTAATTGGGGATCGATAAGGGTTTATAAGCGGATGAGTAATGTCGCAACGCTGTAACATACGCCTGTGTGTGTGTGTCATCCTTTTTTTCGGTTTTCGATCTGATGTGACTAATCCCTTTGTATCCTTGTACAGTTTCGCGTGCAGTTTAACGATACGTTGACGTCCACCTTCGAGTACCCATCAGAGGCATCGATGATCGTCGACGATCCGCCCTATGCCGATCCCTTTTCCCATGTCAGCAAGCATCACCAGCTGCTGTTGGCCGAACAGATGCAGCTGCTCCAGCACCAGCAGCAGGTGCAACAGCAACAGCAGCAGCAGCAGCAGCATCATCATGTTACTGTGGACGAGATCATTGAGCTTCCCACATCGACGGTGGGACACAATAACAAATCTGGCAGCGGAGCCGGTGGAGGCGGCGGCGGCGGCGGCGGCGGCGGGGGCAATATGCTGGGGAATTTACCGTTGGGTAAGTAATATCGGAACGGATTGGATATCAACGGATATCTACCCATACGATCCCGATATGTATATGTGTATATGCGTGTTTGTGTGTATGCGTGTGTGTGTGTGTGTGTGGCATGCAATAAAAAAACCTAATGGAATGGAGAATGGCTTGCTGTCTATCTATCTCTATCACACACACACACTCTCTCTCTCTCTCTCTCTCTCTCTCTCTCTATCTTTCTTTCTCTCTCTCTGTCTGTTTTTTGTACTCTTTGTTTGTCTCTCTTTCTCTCACTCTGTCTCTCTTTTTTGCCTGCCTTGCCTTTTGCCTGCGTCTCTGTCTTGTCCTTAAATTTGATTTTTAAAAGCTGTGCTCTTGCGTTTTTTTCTCTCTTTTATACTATCCATCTATCAAACATTATCATCTGTGCATCAATCATACGTATGTATGTCCTTGTATATATCCTTTGTGTTCTTCTACCCTCATTTTATTTGGTTTTGTTTTTTTAGTTAGCGGGAAAGAATCGGGGGGTATCTCACCCACCAGAATCCACCAGGAATGATCTGTGTTTTGTGCAATTTCCAGATAAACCACCACCACCCAATCAGACGATCTGTGACTCTGTCACCGTATCCGTCTCCGTCTCAGTACCACCATCAGGTGGTGGTAGTAGGGCACCTGCCATTCGGACAATGGGCAAAGGCTGCTGGCCGAAGCTCCGTGTCCTTGGCGCAAAATTTCGCAAACTAACAAGACACATCAGGTGGGTGTAGAGAAGAGCCACCCTTTTTGTTTAGCTACAAGCTACCAGATACCAAATACCAAATACCAGATACCAAATACCAGATACCAAATACCAGATACAGTTCCAAGTTCTAGCTGCAAGTTCAAGCAGATGCCAGCACCCGTACCTGCCCCCTAGACCATACCCCAGCTATATCTCTCTCTCTTTCTCTCTCAGCCTCTTCATAGACCAAAAGCACAGCCCCCTCTCTTTCTCTCTGTGCAAAAACCCCCCCAAAAAAAACCAATGCTAAAAAAAACCAAACAAAACTCAAAAAAGTACTCGAAAAAAGGCAAGGGCATTCAATTTCGCCTCACGCATATTTTGCAGATTACCCAAGTTTAGGGAGGGGTATTATCTTGCAACAGTCGCCACAACAGCAACAGCAGGAGGAGAAGGAGGAGGAGCAGCAACAGGAGGAGGAACAGCCGGAACAGCAGGATCAGGAGGAACAGCAGGAACAGCAGGAGAAGGAGGAGAAACAGCTGGAGTTGGAGCATCAGGAACCAGAGCAGCAGCAGCAGGAACCAAAAACAACAGCAGAATCACGGCCGCGATCAAAAGCCGAAATCAAGCTCCAGCAGCACCCGCAGCAACAGTTCCAGGCGCAGCGTAGGGCACGGCCATCGGTTCTACTGAAGCCGCAGTATGCCTGCTTCCTGCAGAACGAGACAAAGCTGAAACAGCCACCGCCTGCGATTGCATTCAAGCCCAGGAAGGCGGCCTCCTTCTCAATAGGAAACCATCATCAGCAGAGTAATTATGAAATACCCGCTAGCAGAAACAGAACCACAGCCGCCAGGAGTGGAAGCCAGTGCAGCAGCGATGCCACACAGTCGCGTCGTCGCCCGAGTCTGCCGTCATCGCTAGCTTTACCCAATGCCAGTACAGCCCTGCTCCAGGCACGCATACCGGGCACCACGCTCTACTATGTCTGAACCAAAAGCGAATCGACAGAAACCAGAACCAAAAAAAAACTCAACACAAAACAAAAACAAAAAAACAAAAAATGCAAAATACATGCTCCACACGCCTCCAAGCCTCCAAGCCTCCAAGCTTCCAAACTCCGTTTGACTGCAAAGTGCCAGCGAAACGTAGGCATTGCCCAAAAGCTTTTCTCTCATATATGTATTAATAAACCTATTAAAACTAGGCTAAAGATCCAAAACAAAACACCCCCCCGTTGAAATGTGTGGTGGCTATTTGGTGATCCGATCCCGAAATCCTTGAAACCGCTTCATAACGCGAGAATGCGCTTGGCCTTCCCAACACCTTCCCTTAATTGGTTGTTGAAAACATAAAAAACAAACAAACAAACCCGACTCACTTCCATAACTCAATGCGGAACCAGGAAAACAAATTGCAATCCGAACACAGAAAAACAACAACAACAACAACAACACACACACGAAAACAAATACACAGAACACAGAAAACAGAAAACATAATCCCAAAACACTCGATAGAGGATCCAATCGAAACGTTTGCTTTCCCATGTAAATACAATATGATACGATATGTGATGCGAGGAACGCAACTGTTCGAAGACTGGATGAATGCAATGGAAATGATGATGTTGACCCTCCGGTCAAGGAGAAGCACTGAACGAAAAGGAATATCCTTATAACTACTAACAATCCCCACACCCCAAATGATCTAGTGGCTAAAGAACCCACGAACCCATGATAAACGGATAAAGTTCTCCCCTGTACTATGATTATATGTGATGCACTACTAGAATATACTACTGCCCAAGTGAACGATTACAACGCTTACCGTCTAACCTTGCTCTGAACCACTGACTGACTCACTTAGTGACTTGTTTGAAGGCAAGCCAGAAGACAATACTAGATATACTGAATCATCCAGCCGATGAGTAGAGAAGGATCCAATGATTCTCAATACAGCTTAAGTGAGCGAAAGAATGCACTTTCCCATGCGCTATAAAACAGTGATGCTTGATGATAGCTTTTGATACCTTTTTGTATTTATACCATACCATTTAGACCATACAATTATGTACCAAGATGTTCTCTCTTCACCTCTGACCGCTGTTGCTTTTCGGTCCCAAGAATCCAACAACAAAGTACACAGTCTTTGGCGACGCACAAAAGTCGGTCCCAAGAATGCAAAAACAACACTTTATGGTCTTTATTTGCGATTTTCGACTGTAACCAAAGGTTGGAAGAATTTTTTTTTTTTGTTTTTTGAGTTTTGGATTTTTAAATTACCAGACACAGAAGGACAGGACAGTTGTCGTATGATAATGCATGAAAAAAACAAAAAAATCTAGAACTCACCTTTCCACTAGCTGACTTTCGTCAAGTTGAAAACTGAACGAACAACGAACGAGCCCACCGACTGCTGGGAACAGCTGTTGTTGCTAAATGTAAAATGTAAATGTTGTTGTAAATGTTGTTGAGATTTAAGACTTGTGTGTGTGTGTGTGTGTGTGTGTGTGTGTGTGTGTGTGTGTGTGTGTATGTATTGCGCGGTATTCGATTTCATTTGTATGTGGAGAGGGGGGGGTGGGGGTGGGGGTGGGGAGTGGGTGGTATAGTATTGCAATTGACACACGCTTTTGCCTGGCACGCCGCTCATGTACCCCCATCAGCATACTCGCTTCTCGCTCTCGCATTTCACGCTATCTCTTTCTTTCTGTTTCCACAAGTGTTTTCCACCCACACACGTACGCTTTTCATTTCCCCAATACAAACGCACACACACACACATGTATATTTTGTTGTTGTTGTCGTTGTCGTTGTCTCGTTTGTTGTTTGTTTCGTTTGCGTTTGCGTTGCATTTCCCGTTGGTTATTCTTTCCTGACTATTGGATCGCTCTATGTATTTTCTAGTTTTCTATTTTGTTTGTTCATACTAATTTCTTTTGCAGATATTATTTAAATGTAACATCATACATAAGCAAAGCAAAAGTTCGTTGTAATAATATCTATATATGTATATGTGTATATCAGATATACCTACATATATGCCCAACATTTATACATGTATGTACATGTATATGTATAAATGCGTGTGTGTGTGTGAGACAATTAAACTAAACAAGAAACCGTATAAAAGCAAAACTAAAGCAAAACCAAAAACCAAAAGAATAAGTGGCAAAACAGCGAGTGACTGTGGCTCCAACGATGACGAATGCCATAAGACAGAAAAGAAAAGAATATTAAACCACACACATCACAAATTAAATATGAATTAATGAACAGAACGAAACAAAACAGAACAAAAATCAAAAAAAAAAAAAAAAAAAAATACTGCAATCAAGTCTGCCAAAAACCAATGATATCTGCAACACACACCAATCACCTCTAACCAAACCAAAAAAAAATAACAAAAACAATATGCACTGCTCTCTCTGTCTGCTCTCTGTCAGATGGCAACGAAGCCTAAAACTAATCGAATCCAAACTAATCGCCAATTCATATTACTTCCCAAGGTAACTAACCCCAGATTAGACCATACACACAGCACACACACACAGCACACACCTTTGGCACATCCTCATCCATCGTCACACATCTCTCATCTGATCCTCAATCTTCATTTGCCACAGATCCATCCATCCATCCATCCATCTATCCATCTATCCATCCATCCACAAACAAAAGAAACCTCAAGCCCCTCACTTTTTTATATATCTATATTTTTTTTATTTTTTTTTTTTTGTACATTCTTTGGTGCCACTTTTTGATTACTGTACTAACCACCTCAAAAAAAGAATCAAAAAAATCTTGCAATATTTTGGAACAAATTGTAGATCTCGACTAATCTTTGTTTCATTTTGCAGGCTCTACGGCACTGGGCTTTTATACGCCCATGAAGGCCTCGCCGATGGACAGCCTCTTCCAGCTGGGTGTGACCCGGTACGCACTGCCCGACAGCAGCAGCAGCAGCAGCAGCGGCAGCAACAGCAATAACAGCAGCAACGGCTGCAGTCCAGCCGGTGGAGGAGCAGGCAATGGCGGCAAGGCAACGACAACGCTGTTCAATGGCAACGGCAGCATTATGGGCATCGGCGAGGGTCTCATCAAGGACGGCGGCAACTGCGTTGAGGAGGATGCAGCGGCGGCGGGGACCAACACAAATGGAACCGGCGGCAAGAAGTTGAATTGCGATGCGGACGGAGAGGATGACGACTACCATCCAACGGCGACGCCCGGCGGCGGAGTTGTCTATAGCGAGGGCACACAGAAGACAGATCTATTGTACTGATGGAGCGAAACACACACAGCTCTCTGGAGGAGCTCTCCCCCTCTATCTGTATCTCTCTATCTATGGCTCGTTAATGCTATTCCATTCCCCCATAAACATCATCCCATTATAATACCCCCCTCCTTGTGTGAAAACCGTGCGCTTACGTGAAATATAAATTTCAGAAATACGGCAGACAGAAAAACACAGAAAGATACGTATATATATATAGATATTATTTGTAATTCGTAAGCCCTAGATACGATATGGGTGTATGCGTGTGAGTGCGAGTGTGCGTGTGATTGTATGCGAGTGTCTTTATATAAATATATATTTGTTTTTTTTTTTTTTCTTTAACTTAATTACGATTATTGTAAATGCATCGATGATGGCACTTCAGTGAAGGAACCAAACACCACTTCGAGAGTTGTTCCATATTGTATTTGTATTTGTATTCCATTTACGGTATTTTTTATAGTAAATATACAAGAAGAAGACAAACGCCAAGAAACAAACTAAAAAGAAAAAACTTGGACATTTTGCCGAACATAATATAAACATTGTAAACAACGAGAAGTTGTTTCACCAACAACAGAAACAGAAACGGAAACGGAAACAACTGAAAGAAACCCCGAGCCCCGCTGCAGGGTCTAACATTAAACATTATACATATAAATCCAGATCAGATCAGATCAGATCCCTAAGAATCAGAGCGACACGATGATCCCCCAGCCACCCCACCCCCCCCATTTCCGTATATCCGATATCCGATATACACTTCCAATTTCCCGATACGAAACCCGGAAGAACAAGTAAAGGAAAAATGTAAACATTTGCCTCATAATTATTATTACACATTTAGCGCTTACATACATATTTTTTACAATTGTATTCCGTAAATAAATATAAATATATACAAATACATTAAAATACGATTGAAACGCACCCGTTGAATCTCTAAGAACCACACAACACAGTGTTGTAAGCGCGGTTCAGTGTTGGCCAGCTGCATGGCACTTTCCAGCACTGCCGCAGCCTCAAAATTACAGAGCAAAGAGAGGGATACTCTATGATCTAATTTTAGGACACTGGCACGAGCGTTCTTTCTCTATTCGAATAGTATAATGATTAGGATTAGTTGTGCTTGGCAGGGTTTCGCTGCGTATCACCCAAATTGTATGGATATGTGGTTCCTTTGGTAGCTAAATAATTCTTATATTCATGCACTGTTTTCGTGGTGAAGTTCGAAGCCATGCCGGATGGGTCTTACAGATACAGGTTTTTACATCGTTCAATTAATTTGTTCGATTACTCTTTTGTTTTTTTTAAGATGAGTGCCCTTAGTGGCGTAGGCCTCTTGTAGGCCCCGGCACCGGGCACGTTTGAGTAGCTCTTGGCCGAAACTGGTAAGGAATAGGGGAGGCGCCTTCGGAGTGTTAGTTTGTCTCATCATTCTTCCCTTCTTCTCATTCTGGTTGCTCTCAAGCTGTTGGATGATTCCTTATAATATCGGACTATACCCACTTTAGTAGTAGTAAAGACACAGTAAATTTATGCTCGACATACAGACTGGGACCGAGAAGCGGCTTCAAGCATCGCGATGCATCAACGTGTATCTGTTTTTGGTTTCTTGGGACCGACTTGGTCCCACTTGGTGCGTCGCCAAAGACGGAAGAGATGATGCCGTTTAGGCCGCGTAGAGAATACGCGTGACTGTACCCTGAAGCAGATTTACGGTACGAAAAGAGTAACGGATAGGTTGTGGTGTGGTTTTTTTTAATAACAATTGAAGGCAAGCACAAAGATACACCGAAAAGGTCCAGAGAATTGACAAATTGATTGACTCATCAACCCTTTTAAGACAAAAAGACATTAAAAAAGACAAGCCCCGAGAAATGTAGATATTTGAAATGCTTATAAATACGAGTAAAAGCTCTTTATACTACCTTTGAGCTCTAGACAGCTTCTTCTCCAGGATGTGTTGGTTTCCCCCGTCCAGTGCATCCAAGGGCCCACAGCTCGGCTGATCGTTTAAGTACTCGTAATGCTCATGAGCTCACTCTCTCAATTTGCCAAATAATAATAATAATAATACATAATGGTAGCTGTTCGGTTCGTCAAAGTTCGGCAGTTGTTTGCTGCTGGCCCAACAGTGCGGTTGCCTTTTGCCTACGGCTCTACGAATCGGAATTGAATTGCTAAGGAAATTTGTAAATCGGACAAACGCGCGGCCAGCACGGGAGCTGCCTATAAAGCACCGCATTAGGCCAAGTAGAAACACCAGAGCAGACTTCAGACCCCAAACCCCAAAACCAGAAACAACGATGCACCTCTATGTGGCCTTGTGGGTGTGTGGCACGGCTCTGGCTCTGCTGCTTGGCTGGCAGCAGCGCAAATGCTGGCGGCTCATCTGGCAGCTGAACGGATGGCGGGGCGTGGCCCAGCAGCCGATCCTGTGGTTCCTGCTCTGCATCAACCTGCATCCAAACAGTTGAGTCCTCCAAACAACAAGTACCCGCTGTACCTTAATTCTCGTACGCTACCAACGACAGGCATACTGGAGCGGGTGACGCAGATGAGGAAGTACTTCCAGAGACCGCTGGCCATCCTGGTCGGTACCCGGGTGCTGGTCTACATCGATGATCCCGCCGGCATGGAGAGCATACTGAATGCCCCCGAGTGCCTGGACAAGACCTTCATGCAGGAGGGGTTCTTCGCCAAGCGCGGCCTGCTCCATGCGCGCGGTAAGTGATTGCAAATCTCCCGCGAGTATCCCTAATCCCCGATGGAATTGCAGGCCAGAAGTGGAAGCTACGGCGCAAGCAGCTCAATCCGGCCTTCAGCCACAACATTGTGGCCAGCTTCTTTGATGTGTTCAATGCCGTGGGCAACCAGATGGTCGAACAGTTCGCCTCCCAGCCACATCTACATGGCCGGGCAGTGAAATTCACGGATGCCGAGGATATGCTCAGTCGTGCCGTTCTGGAGGTCTCCTGCCGTGAGTAGACCCCAAGCCCCCCAAAACGCATTGCGGAATAGACTCGCCCCGTCCAACGTTTTCCTGCCCTTCGCGGTTCGACACGTTTCCCCCGTTTCCATGCAACGCACGTAATCCGAAAAACACCCATCCCACGCACATATTTTTGTCTATAAATTATGAACGATTGATCGTGGTTGGATGTTGGCTACCAAAAAGAGGGAGAGAGTGCAATTTCCCAATGGCCATCATGCAGTTAAAGCCAGAGTTCGAATCAGAGTAGGAGCTACGCTACACTTCGAGTCGTGGCTCACGTAGCTCGACATCACGATAGCTGGCTTCTCAGTTTCTATGCGAGAAAAAGCAGTCATGTATCTCTTTGAAGAGGCAGGAAAAGCCCACAGTTTTGCCTCGACTTCGCAGAGTAAAAAGTCCTGCCTGAAATCCTTGTTCCCTTTTTCAGTGACTGTCATGGGAACCCCAACGAATTTCACCCAAACGGATGACGCTCACATCGCCTCCAGCTACAAGCGGTGAGTAGCCATGGGATAGATAGGTAGCCCCAGGATCGGGGCAACCTCTTTGATGCCTTTCCATCCACACAGGCTGCTGGAGATCTCGGCCATCAGAGTGGTGAAGCCGTGGCTGCAAATCGATCTGCTGCACCGCTTGCTGGCCCCCGAGCTATACGCGGAGGCGGAGAAGTGCAACCAATTGCTGGTGGAGTTTGTGGCTGGGATTGTGCAGAGCAAGCATCGCAATTGGCAGCTGCGGGCCGCCCTCAGCGAGGGTGCTGGCGAGGATTCAACCGCCTGGCAGCGGCGCATCTTCATCGAGCAGATCTTCCAACTGGCCGCCAACGGGGAGCTGACGTTGCAGGAGATCGAAGACGAGGCCCAGTCCATGGTCTTGGTGGTGGGTAGCCCCTTCGACAGAAGGCAGAACCACTAACCACATCCCCTGCATCGTTGCAGTCGTTTGAGACGGTCTCCAACAGCATCATGCTGGCCCTGCTCTGCCTGGCCACCCACAAGGGCGACTGCCAGCAGCGGCTGCGGGCGGAGATCGCAAGCGTCTTCCCGGGCCAGGGCCAGGGCTCCACTCCGGATGCCCCCCATGTCGGCCTCGAGCAGCTGCAGCAGCTGCGCTACCTGGATGCCTTCGTCAGCGAGGCCCTGCGCCTGTTGGCCACTGTTCCGATGAACCTGCGGCACGTCAGTCGCGACTTCCAGCTGCCGGGACGCGAGGCCGTCGTGCCTCAGAACAGCATCATCGTGCTGGACACCTTCAACATGCAGCGCGAAGAGGAATGGTGGGGCGACAATGCCAAGCAGTTCGACCCGCAACGCTTCCTCGACCAGGACGATCAGCCAGATCAGTCGCCGGAGGGTGAGGACATCTCTGGATCCTCAATCCCCAAGACGAACGGCCAACAGAAGCAGCAAAAGCAGCAGCCACAGAGGCGCCACTCCTACAGCTTCCTGCCTTTCTCCAAGGGACTGCGCTCCTGCATTGGTGAGTGAAGATCTATCTCCGAGGGTCCCAGATCTCTAGACGAATCCACAATCCTTATTTTGCTTACCCCTTTAGGAGCCCTTAACAGCAGCCACCTTAAGAGTTTCACAGCAACCATAGATTCATAGCATGTAACGTTTATAGTTTCCTAGCATCCACCTCTTCATAGCATCAACATTTATAGCTTCATAGCAGCCACCTCTCACCGTTTCATAGCAGACACCCTCGATAGTTTTATTGCAGACACCTTTTTTGGTTTCACAGCAGCCACATATCATTCCCCTTCATCCCCTCCCGGGAATATTTTGGGAACGTAACTGTTTTCACTCTTCTTTTTTTCCCTACTGCCCTACAGGCCGACGGTATGGGCTGTTCATCATGAAGGTGTTCCTTGTGAAACTGATCGTGGCCTTTGACTTCAGCAGCGACTTCCAGCTGGACCAGCTGCAGTTCGTGGAGAATATCTCTCTGAAGTTCAACAACGTCGATGATATCTCCCTAGCGATCCAGCCGCACCAGCAGAACCAGGATGCAACCTAACACACCACAGGATTCTTCATTATATAATACGTATCATAAAAACATGGTTTTTTTATCTACATATATTTATCATTTATGTGCTTTAGCCAATGCGTATGGCTTCAGAAATAAATTTAGGCTAATTTGTATATCCTCTAAAGGATTCATTTATATATCTGACATATATCAGTAAGCTTTTGCTTGTCCAAAGATTTTAAATCTTCCGCGATTCCGCAGCATCCATTCTCTCGATATACAAATGATGGAGTGTGGGTCTTCTCTGTGGTCGGATTGTTGCTCCGGGGTGGTCTGGGGGCTGAGGCAGCGCGGAATAGTGGGCCACAACTGCGCCAAAGGGCGCCGCTGGTCTTCAAAATGGCCGCCACGGAAAATCTCCCCACAAATCCAATTGAGATGGCAGTGCTTCGATAGGTCGTGACAGCTGAAATCGCTGGTGGTGGCACAATCAATATCGATGGTGTTATTGATTAAAAAAGTATACCGATGGTTTCATATCGATAGTTTATATCGATGATTGTAAATTTATCGATAACAAAAATACCGAAAATTATACTGCTTGTAGAACTTGAAGTCGTCAGTATATTTACGGTATATTTTGAGATTTGTGACGTAGTGCGTCTAGAGTTGATGTTACGTGTGTTTTCGGCTTCTCGATTTCTTTTTTGTTTCCTTCCTCCTTCTTTTCGTTGTTGCTCCGGCTGTTCTTCTAGTTCTTGTTGCCGTTTGTCGTTTGTGGTGCTGCTCTAGCACTTGTTTTTCATATTGTGCCCATGCAGCGGCATTCGCGTCGGCAGATCAGCCAGCATATTAACAATTAACCGTAATATTTTACCGCGTGCTGCGGCAGAAAAACCACCAGAACGGCCCCCTCGCACAACCGACCCGGCCCGGCCCTTAACTGTGTGCCGTTCCCCTCGAAGAGGACGGTGGAGCATTTCCCCGCCCCTGCCCGCACACAGGCGCGTTCCCATTCGCTGCAGCCACCCAATCCCTCGGTTGCGCCCCTCGGCGGCGGTGTTGTGCTGCTGCTGGACAGAAAGCGCGCTAGAAGGAGGAACGCCAGATAAAGAACGGGACGAAAGAGTTAAGCACGCGAAAGAGGCGAGGCGCCGAAGAGTGGAAGTGGAAAAACGTGTGTTTTTGAGACAAAAAGAAGTGATCGAATTACTGCCGTGTAGTTATACATAAATATATTTTACAATCATCTATAGAAACATAAAAATAAAAACAAAACAATTGCAGCGCCAAAATGGTAAGTGGAGAGAAACATTTCTTCTGTTGCTTTTGAGTTTGTGTGTGTGTGTGTTTGTTGGTCGCCGCTGCATCTGACTGTGCCTGCAGAATGACTTAATACATTTTCTTTGTTGCTAAAACACGCAACACACAACACACGCACACACACTAACACATGAATGCACACTAATGCAAAGGAAATGGCCAAAAACAAACAAAGATGTAAAATGTAAAAGCAGTGGAACCCCGAAAAGAAGCAGAAGCAGCTGAAGAGCAGAGTATGGAACGAGAACAGCTGCAGGAGAGGAACGAAGAAGCACAGTAGAGAGAGATGGAAGAAGCGTCATCGTATAAGCGAAAAGAGGAAGTGGCAAAACACAGCAACGGCAGAGCAGCAGAAGCAGCACACGACCGACCGACTACTCATTCAATAATTCTTTTTTTTGTTCTGCTCTAAGCCTCTCTTTTGCCCCGTATACACCGTTACATTTCTTAGCTTTTCTGCACTCTCTTCCCTTTCATCTCCCTTGCACTCCTTCACACTGGCTTCTCTCATTTTCCCCTTCCGCTCCCCCACCATCAAATCGCCTTTTTGAAGTACTTCAACAGAAGAGAAGGGAATTCTTTTTGTTGTGACTTTTGCTTTGGAAACCATGCGTTTTTTGCGTGTGTGCTTCCGCCTGCCATCTCGCTCGCACGTGCCGCGTGCTCTGTCCAGATTTCGACGACTGAGGAGGCGGCGCGCGAGAGTTAATGAATTCCGTTGAAAAAGTTGTGCTAGGTTAGGGTTAAGGCCATGCGATCCATGTTGCGGCGTGGCGCCGCCTGTGCAGCGTGTGGGTGTGCGGGAGGGGTGTTTCAATTTGAGTTTTGTTGTTGTTTAATTGATGGATCGGGATTATACCCTACAAGAGGTTTGTGCTGTTCACCGAGGGTTAAGATATGAAATTTATTAAATATAAAGAAAATCATGCACTTTATAGGGTTTCTTTTGACTTTGCGGCTGTTTCCACAATGTTTTTTAACATTTATAGTATCCCATCCTGCAGATCCCATTCACTATTGTTTATCCTGCCACGCTTCCAAGCTAAACAAATCAATAGAATGAGGGGGATATCCTTTTTTTATTGTATTTTTAAATGTTTTGTTTTGTTTTGAACCCAGCTCTGTGTTTATGTGGCGGTAATCCCTTTCCCTTATTTGTTTATTTATTATTAGTGTCATTGATATCCTTGGGATGAAAGATAAAAGCCAAATGGCCTAATATTTTGGTTTTCGTTTGTTTTTTTGAAAAGATAAGATGTTAATATATTATATATATTTTCTATACCTCTGTAAATTCCAGAAACTAAAAATATTATCTAAATGCATGCCCCCGGCCCTTTATAGGGTATGCAAAGTGCATTGCTCTTTCTTTTTATACCCGATACTCAAAATGAGTATTGGGGTATATTAGATTTGTGGTAAAAGTGGATGTGTGTAACGTCCAGAAGGAATCGTTTCCGACCCCATAAAGTATATATATTCTTGATCAGCATCAATAGCCGAGGCGATTGAGCCCTGTCTGTCCGTCTGTCCGTCCCTTTTAGCGCCTAGTGCTCAAAGACTATAAGAGCTAGAGCAACGATGTTTTGGATCCAGACTTCTGTGATATGTCACTGTTACAAGAATATTTCAAAACTTCGCCCCGCCCACTTCCGCTCCCACAAAGGACGAAAATCTGTGGCATCCACAATATTGAGAATACGGGAAAACTAAAAACGCAGAATCATAGATAATGACCATATCTATCCGGTTGCTGAATCTGGATCAAATCAGATCAGATCATTTTTATAGCCAAAGGGAACAAATCAATTTGCAGTGGCTACGCAGCGCCCGACGTCACGCTCAGACTAATTTTCTGTCTCTCTCGCACGCACTCTTTGTCGTGTCGTTTAATATTAGCGGCGTCTGCCGGAGGAGAGCCATTCTGACTTAGTATCGGGTATAAATGTAGAGTTGCGGTCTCCGCAGGAACTCACAACGTTCCCCCTCGTTTCTTTTATTATTTCGGCGGTTTTTTCTTTCGTTCTTTTTTGCACTTGTTGCTTAGCGGAGTCATCAACCCCTGTTCCACTTGGGAGATAGCCGGGACATAAACCCTAGATTGCCCTGTGGTCGGTAGATTGATATCCCTCAGAGAGGAGGCTTCACCGTAGCGCGGCATCATGCCGAATGGTTGCCACTCCCACAAACGGCAGCGCTGCAGTGGAATGGATGGATGGGATGGTGGAGAAAGCGGTGTGTGAGGGAGGGAGCAAGGCTTATGTATCGTTGTCTGCTCTTTGGTTATTGCATTCGGGCGCTTGTTGTGACGCATGCGCCTAGTGGGACCCCAATGTCTGACCGGGCACTCCCTCTCCTCACAGGTTCTTTCTCTCTCCCCCCTCTCGCTCTCTCTCTCTCTCTTTCTGCACATAGTCGGTACAATTATACCCTGTAAATCCGGAGATATATCCTGAAGAACAAAAAAAATCATCTTATTTTCTGTTTTCAGGCCATGATAGCCTGTTTTTTTCTCTCTGAATTTTGAAATATCCTATGGGATTTATCATCATTCAAATCCTGAATCGTTCCATTCTCGATTCCCAAGCCGATTCGAGGGTATTCACATGTTCTTATTTGGTTTCTCTTATTCTTGTATTTTTTGTGCGTGCGTTCTCTTCGTCCTTTTTGTGGGGCAGTTTTATCTCCAATTTTTTGTTTTTATTTTGATCTTCGTTTGTTTTTGCAATCAACCCTTTTGATAGGCCCCCAAAAATGTTGTCCTTTATTTTGAGATATTTAAAAAAATTTCTCTCTTTTGCTCGTGTCTGTATGCGGGTGTGTGTGTGGCAGCAACAACGTGTTGATGTTGATGTATGTTGCACATAAGAGACACTCTTTCTGTGTGTTCTGTGTGTGTGTGTGTGTGCGTTGCAAGGTCATTCGTTTTGATTTTATTTTGTGTGTCAACAAAAATGTTGCACATCTAAAACGAGACGAAGCAATTCAGGAAGGGAAGGGAGGGCATTGTGATGAGGTAGGACAAGGGATATGCATTTTCATTTTCCATTTTTAATTCAAGATTTGCTTCTTGTGTGGGTTTTCAAGCGCAAACGATAGCTAAAAGGAAGGATAGAAGTGATACTTCATATTAGTTATTTAAAACCTGTTTAGAAATCGGCGAAATAATGTCCCTACTTGGACCTAACTTGGACTTGGCTTCTTTAGGTTTCCTTACGCTTGGATTATGGTATTCAAAGACCAAAAGATTTCGTGAAGCTTCGGTCGTGATCGAAAGGGACTTGGGCTTCCATTTCACGAGTGTTTACTGTGCTCTGCTTTAAAGCCAAGATCCCATATCGAATATGCAGGATGTCAGATATATAGAGAGTGAGGGAGAGATATGCACCACCCTCTCACACATCACTCTGTCCCGCTCTAATTGCTGTACATGCGTCAGGCTTCATATTGCCTCCCTGCCCCCCATTCCATCTCCCCATTACCACCCTCTCTCTGGCATGGGAAGGGGAGGGCACCCCCACCTGCATATGCCGCATCGATGGAGGACGAAGCTTCGTATCTCTGCAATGCCAAACATTTTGTTGCTGCCTTTCGGTGGAACGAAGAAGAAGAAGAAGCGAGAAGGTGGCTCATGGGAACGGAAGAAGGCAAAGGAGGTGGTTGCAGTGGGGTGGTGGGGGGTTAAGGGAGAGCAACATTCCAACCCCTTTTTGGGGTCCAGTGGAGCACAGTGGAATGCAGATCAGAAAAGGAAATAATGAATGAAACTGGGACCGTATTTTCGAGAAAATATCAAACAAAAATTTGCATTTTTACAGTGGTACCACTAGGTACGACCGTCTATATTCCTTCAAAGCATGACCAATGTCCAACATGGCCTGCACTTTACTGCAATTTCATGTAGCTTTACGTGTCTCCTCTCTGAGAGGAGTGTGCTTACTCTCTCAATTCTAATGGTTCTCTATGACTCTAGGCAATTTTGCGAAAGAGCGAAATGGAGCACCAACAAAAAATAGCCCCAGTAACTGTTCTACGCAAAAGCTTCTAATTTTTTGAGCTGCTTGATGTTTTGAGTTCTTGATTGAACTAAAAATCGTTGTCGTACGCCGATTGTTACAAGAAATTTACAAAATTTAAGTAGTTATTGGTCTGGGAAAGCGAAAGAAGGCAGGACCTATGCTAAGGTGGGGCAAATTGTCGGTTGTTCAAATATTTCTCCAAACAAGAAACACCTGAAAGAAAAGCCGCGATATCCCCATTTCTGGTGAAATCGGTCAAAGAGCTTAAAAAAGGATTTTAAAAAATCCAGGAAATTTAGATCTTGCTTACTAGAACGGAAAATGGGTACTCATAGTCCGAGGAAAATTCCACTTTTGACAGGAAGGAATAGGGCAAATAAAGTTTGGTATGCACTAAAATTGGACCAAAGAAAAATGGAGAAACATCCTGTGGTCCGACTAAAGCTAAAATTAATTTGTTTGTGGACATGTAAGACGACCCCCTGACTCATGGAAAGACATGGAATACCAAGCATAATCGTATGGTCATGATTTTCGTACTCGAAAGTTGATCCGATACATGCCACAAACCCATTATGGATCAATATGTCTATGTTAATATCTAAGAACCAGTGATGCTGTCTTGTGTCTTCCGGCAGGAAATTGGTGCCCAAATTTCGGATAAAATACTTTTCTTTTCAAATATTTTCATTTGGAGTGTTCAAATCATACCAGTGCTCTGGGATACGATAAAATATACCTTAATGTTTTGATATTAGTCTTAACAACGTTCATTAGAACCATTGCTTCAGCAAAATCCGTCCGGACATTTGTCCCCGGGTGCTTTTTTTTTCGGCGCTGCTGTATGTCCGACAATGAACATGTCATGAACAAAGCCACAAAGCTTTTGGGGGGTATTGTATTTAAAAACGTACAAAGCTTTTCCAAATCCGAAATTCGAGCTCTGTTTTGTGTGCGATATTTGGACAATGTGGACCACTGTGCGTGCCTGTGCGAAAAAGGGTTGGTAGTAGGACTCTCGGTAGTCGACGCCACCTCGTTTGTTTATCGGCCTGTTTCCAGTTCTGTTCTTCTTGCTGTCCGTCCAGCAGACACAAAACCCACCCCCAAAAAGGAGCCGAGCCGCACCCCCTCCACGGGTTAACCCGTTACTATCGAAAAACTGCAGCCGCTTGGTCCTGCTGCTGCCCTCTGCTGCCTCCTGCTAGAATATTCCGACATGAAACGGTGAATATTCCCAGCATTTTGGAGGGGGAGGAGGGCGGGGGGCGGCTACGGGGTACTCTGTGTGCCATGTAGACAAGAGGCATGTCGTGGCAGTGGCAGTGGCAGAGGCCGTACCCGGGCCGGGGTCTGGTTCTGGCTCTGAATCTGAGTCCTGGAAAAGTGGCGGTAGTTGGCTCCAACACGAGCATCGAAACAGTCGCACACCACTCCTGCAAATAGACAACCGTACAGACGGAAATTCCAGAGACCCCAGAAGACCCCAAAAACCAGGCCGAAACGGAGAACAGAACCAGTTCCCATCGCGGCAGAAACGCATCTGTGACCTCCTTCGGTACGTCGTCTCTTTCCGTGAGTGTCCGCCTCTCAGCGCCTCGCTTGTTCAGCTTTTTCTCCCCTTTTTTTTTTTCTCCCATCCGTTGTCTTCGCGCTTTTTTCTGTTGCTTTTTTTTCTCGTGCTTTTTGTGCCGTTTTTTCTAAACAAGTGAAACGGAAACTCCTTCAACTTTCTCTCCGGCTCTCTTTTTCTCCCATTTCCTCCCCCGTTGTGTGTGTGTGTGTGTGTGTGTGCCTGTGCTGTGCTCTGAAAAGTGTGCTATACAAATATATGCGGTTTTTTCTCGCTCTTCTTTTGTGTCACATTTATTGTGCTTTTTGTTTTCATCTCGTTTTTCTGCCTTTTTCTGTGCCTGTGTGTATGGACCCTAATTGTTTTTCTTTTCTTTTTTGGGTGACTCCAAATGGAAATGTAACCTGTGAAAGATGTGAAAACTATCAAAACTATTGATTTTTGCCGCCTCTTGCGTCCACTGAGAGAAATTTTGTTGAGCAAATTTGATAATTATCCTGCCATATAGTATATAATTATTTTATGTTATACATATCGTGAGATATGCCATGTTAATACATATTTATATAAATATATATATATATATTGGTGAATGTAGGAGGAAGAATGCAATTTATAAAGTCTACAAAATTGCAAAGCTATCTTTTTTCTCTAATTAAAAAAAACTAAAGTTTATAAATTAATAATACAAAATGCAATATAAATACTAAAAACAACAAACGCATACTTTTAAGAAAATAATAAATTAATAATAAAATAATTGTATTATAAAAGTATATAATAAATAATTCAACAATCACAAATTAATGCTAGAATATACCAAGAAAATACTAAAATATACCAAGGAGATACATGAGTATCACTTAAACCACGTAAATACTCGGAGATTCCAAATGAATACTCTAAAACCCGAAAAAAACAAGAAAATATCAAACTTATGATAGAAGATAAATAATTAAAAAAAACACCAATAAATTCCAAAATATTCCAACGATATACTCGAATACTACCAAATAAATACTAGAAATTTCAACTAGGAAATACAAAATAAATACTAGAAAAATATCATTTCAATACCAGAACAGTACTGTGTACCAATATTATTAATTGCATGTTTTTTTTTTGTTTTTTTTTTTGTTGCAGACATCAAAAAAGCGGAAAGCCTTTTTGGACGGCGTCGACGACGACGACGACGATAATTTTGATGAAGAGGACTCTGGCTCCGATTTTGACGATGATGAAGATCCAGATCTAATAGAAGTGCCTGGTAAGCAGAAAATCCCCCAATGAATTCCATTGAGAAATAGCATTTGTAATCTCCGAGTGTACTCGCGTTGACCGATGGGAAGGGAACCATCGGAAGCACCAAGAATTTATTCAGGAGAACAGGAAACAGTTGTGGGACTCCGTTGACTTTCAGTGAATCAGAGTGGCATCAGCTCCATGACATCTGTCTCAATATCAATGAAACGACAACTTTTATTAGTCCACTGAAACATTAATGAAAATGCCCCCAGTGCCATCTGTCCCCCAATCGACCTGGCTCAAGCGGATGGACCTGTCCCACCAATTGACCTCCCCCTCAAATGCACAAACAGAGAGAGAGAGAGCTAGAGCGAGGGAGGAGAGCAAGTGGTTGACGGTTGGAGGTGTCGTCTCCCACCTGCCAGGCGGCTACCACAAAGATGTCCTTTCAATGTGCAGCGAGCAGCGAGCAGCGTGCATTGTGTTTGCATTAGATTTTCTCGATATGGATATAGTATACATGTACGCTGTACAGTACGGAGTATATATGTGGCAATTATGTGTGTGGCACACCCTCCGCATTTGTGCGTCACGTATATTAGGTAACGCTTCTCCCCCCCCCACCCCCCCCCCCCCCCCCCCATATACATATACGAGTAGAACTGAAGATATATCCACGATGGTAGGCTCCTGTCCTGCCTCTGTGCGTCATACTTGCTGGTGGACATCTTGACTGAATTATTAAACTTGATTATCAATTGCCCAATGCCTAATGCCCCATGCTCTATGCCAAGGGGCATGGCATCCATCCATCAATCGATGGATAATTACAAAGTGCTTCGACAATTGAAAATCAATGATTTGAAAGGTTCAGTTAAGTAAGAAAGGAATCGTTTGATGATGAACAAGACATCGAAACCCCTGCTGCATTGCCATCATTTGCAACTGTCCGACTAAGAAAGATAAAGACATATCTCGATCCGAGAGGTTTTTTTTAACCTCATAAGCAAACCTATCGCCGATTTCATGCACTAATCTGTATGACTAAGGGCCAAGGTCGGGACTAACATAATCAAACCTATAGTTGAATGTGTGTTTTTGACTTTTATACTCGTTTTCGCAGCTATCCTACAAACTTTTGCTCGTTTGTCACACCTAAATATAGGCTATTTAAGAGTATATTGAACTTCAGTTTATATTTTGTCTTTGCATTCTCGGCATCGAGTCACGAATCACGACATCGCCATGCCCTCGCGAGCTTTCTCTTTGACACTTTTCGCCGGAGCAATTTTCAGTGTCTTGAAAGATCCATTTATTTCCATTTCTTTGCTTGGAGCACCTCGTGTGCCTCGACAAAAGCGTTTCAATGGGCTTTTTCTGGGTGTATCTTTCAGTGTATTGTTGAGGCGATTCCAATATTCGTTCGGCTTGGATATCCTTGGCTATTCCCGCGAGAATTTAATTAGTTTTCACGTCTGTCAATGGCAGTTTTGCATTCGTTTTTGCGTCTACAATTTGTATTTGATTTGCGGTTTTTGGGGGGCGTGGCGAGGGGGGGGGGGGCATGCATCTTGACCGCGCGGTAACCACCATTGCTGCAACTGCCACTGCAACGATGCCGTTGCCTTTGCCACTGCTGCATGTGTCATTGGGTGCCACATATGTACTCGTCTGTATGTGTCTGGTTGCATATAATTATGATTAAATGCACAGCCAAAGGCCCCTTCCTTGCACATACTGTACGTATGTATATCCCGTATATTCCTGCTGCATATTATGTATTATGTGCATCTGCATCTGTATCTATATCTGTATCTTTGCTCATTAATTAGTTATTTACCTTGAATGAGGACCGGGGGTTGCTGCCACTGCCACTGCCACTGCCGCCGCCACTGTCGCTGCTGCCGTGAGGTTAAAAGCCTGGGGCGGAGGCAGGGGCGGAGGCAGGGGCGGGGGGCAAGTCTTGGGCCCTGGTTATATGCTGATTATCGTCTGCATAATTGTGCAATGAAAATGGGAATCATATTTCTGAGGAATCCATTCGAAATGTTTTGGCATCAAGTTAAAGATATTCCACAATTTCAGATTCATACATTCCATCACCGGAAACGGGCAATGGGAAAATTGCCAACAACAAAACGTGCCAGAAAGTCACAAGAAAATCAAAGAAAGATTTTTGAATTTGGGAGCAAACCAGAAACAATGAGAGAGACTCGAGTCGAGCATCAGCCAACCTCGGTCCCAGTCTTCAGCCGAACATCAATGTCCCTCGTCATACGCACTGAGTGTCCTTTGTTTTTGCACTCTCGGCATCGGCATCGGCTTCTTTTATACGGGCATCCTCCTGCACGTTTCATATCTCAATCAAATTTGCTTCCATTATGGAACACCAAATACCATTTTATTGAAGTACTGTCGGAGGCAAACGATAACCTAACGATCACAGATTTAATTTGTGAATCAGAAATAAGGCCCCTACCCTTTAGGTGTGTACTTATGTTTTTTGATGTGTCACCCGATGTAGCAGCCACACACGCTCTCTGTCTTGGGTATCTGTGTATCGGTGTATGATCTTAAAGGTCTTCGCCTTCTTCTGTCTCTGTCTCTGTCCCCTGGAGACGGCCTTCCCTCCCTCCCACATTTCGAAGCAGATTGGGCCGCGAGTTGTGTGGAATATAAGTTTGATCACCGTGATCCCGAATGTGGGCATATACTGCTGCACGAACTGGCCCGTCAAGTGCCGCTGGATGAAGGCACTTTTTCCGCATCCCTCATGGCCGATTATTACGCACTTGTATGCTGGAACTAGCCTGCGTCGTAAGGGCATTTTTCCAAAATAAGTACACGACTGAGAGGTGTCCTGTTGGGATGGATTAATTACCAGTTTAGCTGCGAATAAGAATCAGAAATGCACTTACCAGAAGTTTTTTACACAATTAAATAGTTGTAGGAGATTTTCGTTCTGAATTTTCGGCAATGACTTCACACAATGATAAATGTTAAGGAACATCCAATGACAGCTTGTGACTTTTGCAGCGGATGACTTTTGTAGCTTCAGTTTTCTTAGTGGCCGTTCGCTTGTGGGTAATTTGTACAGCGAACATGGCTATGCTGTATCAGATATATATCATTGAAATGGATTGGATCGGGTCATTAATATGTACTTGTGTGTATTTGCTTGTGATATCTCTCTCCAGGTGGCGGTCGCGATCTGAACACAGCTGTTACCTACGCCCAGAACATACGCAGCGGTGTGGGCGTAACGAAGGGTCCAGCGGGCAGCAATAGCAATAGCAGCAGCGATACCAAAACCATTACCATCAGCAATCATAACAACAACAATAAGCCCACTTCCCTGCTGCGAACCAACAACAATAATATCACCACCAGCAGCAGCTATAATATTAAGATTGGAGTGCCGGGAACAGCCGCAGCCGGATTGAAAGGAGTACCAATAGTGAAAGCAGTCGGAGCCGGAGCCGGAGCCGCAGCCGGAGCCGGAACGGTGGGGCTAGAACTGACGTCCAAAGGATCAGTACCGATAATAGCCAGAAAAGTAGGATTAGAGAATAGTTTAAACAATATGCCAAAGAAATTGACGGGTAAGTTGAAACAAAACACACACAAGAGACACATTTGCAACACACAAGGTGAGGCACACAGCCACAGAAAGAGAGCGAGAGAGAGAGAGAGAGGGCTATATCGTATGCTATGGGAATCAATTTGGGAATTTCCGTTTAACTTTTTATTGAATTTGAGTAAAATCTTAGCTCGACTAGGACTACTAGAAGATTGAGAATACGGAACATATCCTGAGCAGTTTCTAGAAGAAAGGATTTCACAACTCTCTCGGCTACAGAGCTTACAGGTGAACCGTGCACAGAGAGAGGAGGCAGCTTATGCTCTCTCCTGTATTCTCTAGTGTTTTGTAAGAATTTTGTATAGCTCACGGATAGAGAGGGAGGGGTCTTATATCGATCAGTATTTCTTTGAAATTAGATCTGTGGAAGTAGGAGAATGCCTCACCTTGTTATGAATGTACCTTGCCATCACACACACACCCACACACCCACACACAGAAACACCCACCAATGCGTGCAACAGAGACGGACAGACAGAAAGATGAAAAAGATGAAATTTGTTTGGAACGATTGAAATTAATTAATGTCCCTTGTGTTTCTCTCTCTTTCTTCTCTTTCTTTATCTCCCACACACACTCTCTCTTTATACCCCTCTCCCCGTCTACCCCGCCCTCTCTATGTTTATACCCCTTGCCACCCCCTTTTGTCTTGTTCTTGTTTTCCTCCACCCCTTGAAACCCTTTCTTTTCTTTATTTTTGCTTTGGTTTGCTTTTGTTTTGGTTTTTTCCTTTCGTTTTGCGTTCGTTTTGCCGTCCGTCAAGCCATGGGCCCCACTCTACCACCCGCAGCAAGGACCAGCAGCTCGGTCCCGGGCACAACCACTGCCACTGCCACTGCCACTGCCACCGCCACTCCCCACTTTAATGCGGGGGCCGGCGGCGGTGGGGGCGGTGGGTCCGCCAGCAGCTACCTGAGCAGCGGCGCCGGCAGCTACCTGAACAGCCTCTCCACCAACGAACTGATGAACCTCGCCGCCTACGTGGCCTCCAAGGGTGGCAGTGCCTCGCCCTCGCACTCGCACTCCTCCACATCCACATCCACCTCCACATCAACCTCCAGTGGCGGCGCCTCCAACTTCTATGCGTCAGCAATGGGCGGTGGCGGTGGCGGTGGGAGTGGGAGTGCTGGTGGTGCTTCTGCCGCTAATTTCAATATGGCCGCGTCTTTACTGGCGCAGAGTAAGTCGATTAATGTTGGTAACAACCAAGAAAAGCGTAGACAAGTGTATTACCGAATTACTCGTACCAATCCACACGACACTGATCTCACAGCTGCGTTCAACATAATACAAGTGCTGGTCCCCTAGAATGTAGGCATTCTTAAACCAAAAAACAAGGATATTTTCGCTAGAACAAGGGTCTCCAAAATTTCTTTCAAAATTAATCGAAAATGATCCACATTCAGCGGACATCAGAATAGGAATCAGTTTGGAATCAACATCCGGATACGTTCGGAAGGTTTTCTATAGAGGCACGCTAGCCTCGACATGCCTCTGTTTCTATACAAGAGAGTGAGCGAGAAGAAAAAAACGAAATTTTCGGATACTCCTGCTTTTTCCAGTCCGTTTTGGGCGAGCGTTGTGATGGAATGAGATGCAGATTGTAGAGGACCCAATGAAGGGAATACCGAATACCACTGAAACGGTTCGGTTGTCAGTTTATGCAGGACTATAATCTGAATTTCAGTATAAATACAACATACTCGTATGTATGTAATAGAAAATACTCCAAAAAGGGCCAAAAGAGTTACCTAAAAGTGTCAGTGTGTTGTATAATTGATGTTCGGATCGTTAGATATCGTTAGGTATAGTCAAGCCTAAAACCGCTTCTTAGATCGAATGTTCGATGCAGTAAATAGTTGAAAATGATCTATAAATACTCGTAAAATTATGATAAATGAGATGCGGATCTGTATCCTTAAACACACAATATTTTCACGATTTTCACGAGCTACAGAAGCACTTTTAATATTTTGGACGCAACTGTATATATGATGTCCTATCCTTCAGTGTCCTGTAACACTGCTCTTATTATTTTTGGTCTTTATCGTGTGTGAATGAAGGATTGAATGTTCGTTTTTGGGGGACTCTATGTAATATATTTCCTCTCGTCAAAGTAGCAATTGCTTTTCTAGCATTTCCAAACATTTCCCCTTCGTGAAGGCGGCTCCATAGAAATTTCTGGCTGCTACAAAACGTTCCAACAAAACCCAAAATTCTTTTAGAGATTTATTATTTTCGGTCAAAGTTCTCACGAAATTATTGCAGCTTATTGCTTTTCATTTTCTTTCTGATTGTTTCTGTTGGATCTTCATCTTTGGTCATGAATCCAATCGACCCACAAGACAAAGAGCAAATGGAGAAGGCGGCCGAACAGCAGACGGCTACAGGGGATCGAGAGGTGCACCATCATCATCGCCACCACCACCATCATCATCATCGACACCACCACCACCACCACCACCACCACCACCACCACCACCATCATTATCATCATCATCATCACCATTATCACAACGTGGGTGTGTCTGGCGGTCCGCCCCACTGGGAGGATATCTGTCAGCTGGTGAAACTAGCTGTGGCGGAGGCCATGGAGAAGTTTCATGCCATCCAGAACGAGGCGCTGGAAAATATGAAGCGTGGGGCGTGGCGTAGCCAGGAGTCGACATCCGACGTCCCGTCCTCGGTGCAGAACAAAAACGTCCGCATTGTGGTGGAGCCGCAGGCCACAAACTCCTCGTCGCCGGGTATACACCTAAAATCCTGCAAAGGTTTGGGGACTGTACAGACAACAGGCCCTGGAACTCCACCCCAGGCACCTCGTGATGCATCGGCTGCGCTACACCGATCGATGTCCCTCATCTTCTTCAAGCATCCACCACTGTCGTTTCAGTCCTCACAGAGCGATGTGGAGGATGAGGAGGAGGAGGAGGAGGAAGAGGAAGACGCGGCGGTGGTGGTGTCGTCGTCGTCATCCTTGTCGTCGTGTTCTTTCAGCCCCGGCAGTTCCTTGTGCAAATTATCGATGTCTGAAACGATTGAAGGCGCCGAGGTGCTCTTCCGCAATCCGGACTATCTCAAGGTGCAGGACAGCGGATTACTTGAGACACAGAAGAGCTGTCAATCGGTGGAGGATATGGAGAAGCACCATAATCTTCTCAAAACGCTGCTCCTCAACAAGTCATCCTTCTCGATGATCCTGCATCGTTGTCGATGGCCCCGAGAAATTGCACTAAAACTTCAGAAATTTCCTTATAAATTATGTACAAAAAAAGGTTGGATGGGAAACAAAAGAACACAAACGAAAGACAAGTTTGTTGCACGAAAAGAGGGACCATCCAGCCACCAAGGAGTAAAGAGTAGCGATATTTGCTAATATTCTGCCATTCCATTGATGCACGTTCGATGAAGCAAACCAATAGCTATGTATACTCGATGTAAGCTGTACATCAAAATAATTATCCAATTGATGGAATGAATTGAATACTTGATACTTTTCCTGTTGTGTTTCCCTGTAAGAAGAATGCATGTCCAGTCATGTCGAATGCTTATACGATTGAGGAGCGAAAGCTTTCATATGCCTGCACATGCCTGCAAGAGCGGATCGATGTACGGCTTTCAAAAGCTCCCGAAGGCTCTCCAACATTTGAATTCCGCTTCAAAAAGCTTTCGTTCAGCGTTCGACACACACGCACACACACATTGCAGTGCGTCTGTGTGCGTAGACAGCAGGCTAAATGGGACAAAAAGTGTTGTTGCACTGGCGGCGCAGCAGCAGCGCCGATGCACATGTGACAGCAAATGACTGTACGCTGTTTTTCTTCCGTTGTGGTCGATTTACGCTCTGTTAAGCTTTCGTTCGAATGAAACGTTGAACGTATTTCGATCGTATTTCTTTTCGTTTCGAGCCTGATGTATGTGTGATGTACATATTTCTGATGTATGCCCGTTTTTTCGTTCAGTTTTGCGGTTTATTGGGTAGTTGTTGTTTGTGGAGTATTTTGGATGCATTTCAATTGAAAGAGTTCTATATATTTTCCCCCACATACGTAGGTTTCCTCAATTTGACAATTGTTTGCTTATGAACGTTCTTTCCCTTTCTCTCTCTCTCTCTGTCTCTTTCTATCTACCGATGCCTGTTGTCTCTTTCTATTCAATGCATATCTCTCCCTGAACATTCCACATGCCACATGCACCACATACAACAAACAATCGACCAACAAATGACATTTGCAACCAACAAAACTCGAAACCTACACGAAACATCCTTTTTTTTCCCTCCCGTTCCTTGCGTCTCTTGCAGTGAGCTATGCCGGCGGCGCTGCAGGTCAAGGTGCAGGTGGTGTTGCCCTGCCGGTGGTGCGTCCCTTCAAGGGAGCTGTTTCCAAGGTGGCCATGCCACCAGCGAGCGCCACAGCTGCAGCAGCAGGAGGGGGAGCCGGAGGAGGAGCACCTACTGGCGGCGGTGGCACAAAGGGCAGCACATCGATGATGGAGGCTGTCCAGAAACTGATTGCCATGAATCCGGAATATCTGACCAGCGGCATACCCAACAATGTGTTCCAGATGTTCATGCAATCAATGAAGCGTACCCCCTCGCCAGGCACCTCCTTGATGTCCGGCACCAGTCCCGGGCCCATGTCGATGTCCATGTCCATGTCGATGCAGCAGTCCATGCAGCAGGCCCAGGCCAATGCAGCAGCAGCCTCCGCCGCCGCCGCAGCGGCTGCCTATGTTCAGCAGGAGGAGGACGAAGTGGACTACGAGGAGATGGGTGTGGCCGAGACATATGCCGATTACTGGCCAGCCAAACGTGAGTATCCGCCAAACATAAATGCATATTCTTGTGCTCCTTTCGTGACTCTTTTGAACACTCTCTCCCGCGCACAGTGAAGCTGGGCAAAAAGCATCCCGATGCTGTGGTGGAGACCGCCTCTCTCAGCTCTGTGGAGCCCTGCGATGTCTACTACAAGATGTCGATACCCAACGAAACGATCAGTTCGGGACAGCTGAGCGCCCTGCAGCTGGAGTCCATAACGTATGCCTCGCAGGCGCACGATCACCTGCTGCCGGATGGCAGTCGTGCTGGCTTCCTCATTGGCGATGGCGCTGGCGTGGGCAAGGGTCGCACCATTGCGGGCATCATCTATGAGAACTTTCTCAAGGGACGCAAGAAGGCGCTGTGGATATCCGTATCGAATGATCTGAAGTACGATGCCCAGCGGGATCTCATCGATATTGGAGCCTCTCGTATTGGTGTGCATCCATTGAATAAAGTATGGTCTCTTCCGTTGATCCGATCCGATCCTCCATTCATACTCCCTTCTTTGCTCTCTCTGCTATCTTTCTCTGTAGTTCAAATACGCCAAAATCAGCTCCGATGTGAACAACAATGTGAAACGCGGCGTAATCTTCAGCACGTACTCGGCCCTCATTGGGGAATCGAACAACAAGACGGGCAAGTATCGTTCGCGCTTCCGCCAGCTGTTGCAGTGGTGTGGCGAGGATTTCGAGGGTCTGATCATCTTCGATGAGTGCCACAAGGCCAAGAATCTGTGTCCCGTGGGCTCCGGCAAGCCCACAAAAACCGGACAAACTGTCCTCGAGCTGCAGCAAAAGTTACCCAAGGCCCGTGTGGTCTATGCCTCCGCCACGGGCGCCTCAGAGCCCAAGAATATGGCCTATATGGTCCGACTGGGATTGTGGGGTCAGGGCACGGCATTTGGCAATTTCAATGATTTTATCACAGCCGTAGAGCGACGGTAAGTGGAGGAAGCCCTCAATCGTTGCGTGCATCCGATGTAATCTGTCCTTGTTGTTTTGCTTTTGTTTTTAGCGGTGTTGGTGCCATGGAAATCGTTGCCATGGACATGAAGCTACGCGGCATGTACATTGCCCGCCAGCTGAGCTTCAAGGGCGTCAGCTTCAAGATCGAAGAGGTGCCCCTCACCAAGGAATTCCGAAAGATCTACGACCAGTCTGTGGAGCTCTGGGTGGAGGCCATGCAGAAGTTCACGGAGGCCGCCGAACTGATTGACGCCGAGAGTCGCATGAAGAAGACCATGTGGGGGCAGTTCTGGTCATCGCATCAGCGTTTCTTCAAGTATCTGTGCATTGCCGCGAAGGTCAATCACGCGGTGCTGGTGGCCCGTGAGTCCATCAAGTACGGCAAGTGTGTGGTCATCGGTCTGCAGTCCACGGGGGAGGCCAGAACCCTGGATCAGCTAGAGCGCGATGATGGAGAGCTAACGGACTTTGTGTCGACGGCCAAGTAAGTGGCAGACCAGCTGTTTCCCCTTTCCCTGTGTGATTTCTAGCTGAATTTATTTCCTTTTCAGAGGTGTTTTCCAGTCGTTTGTGGAGCGACATTTTCCGGCGCCCGATCGCAATCGCATCAATCGCATTCTTGGCCTTTACGATGACACACCAACGCCCCTGTCTGCCGGCACGGAGACAGCCGCCTCGAACAACAACAACAACAACAATAATAATGGCAAAAACGGGGGACGAGGCAAGCGAAAGGGCGACGGCGTCCAGACTAAATCGTCGCAGAAGAAAAAGAAAATGAGCGCAGGAGCCGCCTGGCAAATGAGCGACAGCGACGAGGAGGCAGCCCGCACGCCCAGTCGGGACTTTGGGGCCAACTCGAACAGCGACAGCGAGGGGGCCGACAGCGAGACTTTTGCCGAAGACGACGACGAGGAGGATGAGGACGAGGACGAGGAGGATGCCGACGAGGAGCTCGATCGGGATAGCGATCGCAGGAGCGTGGCCAGCGACGCCAGCTCCGATTTCAATCCGTTCTTCAGTGGCAGCGACAGCGACATTGATCCCTGGGTGAACGCGCGCAGCAAGAAGCCCACAAAGAAGGTCCAGAAGAAGGTCAAGAAGAAGGTGAAGAAGGAAAAGAAGGAGTCCCAGCCAGCATCCGCTTCCACCCCCGCACTATCTGCGACAACTGGCGAAGCCAGCGCCAGCAGCAGCTCCGTGATGTCCCCCGCTGTGGTGGCCGCTCTGACGGCGGCCAAGACCCGCAAGTCGCAGCAATCAACGCAGGACAAGATCCAGGATCTGCTGCAAAAGAAACAAGAGCTCAAGGGCACCGTCACCCCCGTGGGCGTCAATGGGGTGAAGCTGAACTACGGCCCACCGCCCAAGGATGCCATCGAGCGCGCCTGCACCATGAAGGAGGAGCTGCTGCGCAAGATCGAGCGTCTCGGCTCCCGCCTGCCACCGAACACACTCGACCAGCTGATCGACGAGCTCGGAGGACCCGACAACGTGGCCGAGATGACCGGTCGTCGGGGCCGTGTCGTCCAAAACGAAGATGGCTCCATTCAGTACGAGTCGCGCACGGAGTCCGATGTGCCACTGGAGACGCTGAATATCACGGAGAAGCAGCGCTTCATGGACGGCCAAAAGGACGTGGCCATCATCTCCGAGGCCGCCTCCAGCGGCATTTCCCTGCAGAGCGATCGTCGGGTGTTCAATCAGCGCCGTCGTGTCCATATCACCCTGGAGCTGCCGTGGTCCGCCGATCGGGCGATCCAGCAGTTTGGACGCACCCATCGCTCCAATCAGGTCAATGCCCCCGAGTATATATTCCTTATTTCGGATCTGGCCGGCGAGCGACGCTTCGCCTCGACGGTGGCCAAGCGCCTGGAGTCGCTCGGGGCCCTCACTCACGGCGATCGTCGTGCCACCGAGACGCGCGACTTGTCCCAGTTCAATATCGACAACAAGTACGGCCGTCAGGCCCTCGAGACGGTGATGCGCACCATTATGGGCTACGAGGCGCCGCTGGTGCCGCCGCCCACCGACTACAACGGGGAGTTCTTCAAGGACATTGCTGGAGCCCTGGTGGGTGTGGGGATCATTGTGAACAGCGAGAGCAATCCGGGCGTGCTCAGTCTGGACAAGGACTACAATAACATATCAAAGTTTCTCAATCGCATCCTCGGCTGTCCTGTGGACCTGCAGAATCGTCTGTTCAAGTATTTCACCGACACCATGACGGCCATCATTAATCAGGCGAAGCGTGGCGGTCGCTTCGATTTGGGCATCGTGGGTGAGTAGACCCCAGAGCGGGAGTGGTAAATAACTTCTTTCACATGGCTTTTACACGATATACAATCCTCTGCAGATTTGGGCGCTGCTGGTGAGAATGTGATTCGTGTGCGTCTGATACGTTTTGTGCGCAAACATGCCACCGGAGTGGCACCCACAGAGCTGCATACGGTGCGCGTGGAACGTGGCATGATCTGGCAGGAGGCCATTGACAAGTGAGTCTCATTTCCGATCATCTTATATTAATGGAAGACGAGACTTAATATAATCTTTCCCTTCTCTACAGATATGCTGATCTGTTCAACGACAACGAGGGCTTCTATCTGTCGCATCAGCTGCGAAATCAGAAGCGCACCGCCATACTGGTCGTGGTACTCGAACATCAGCCGCCACGTAACAGCAGCAGTAGCAGCACCAGCACCACCGATGCAGATGGAGGTAGCAGCGGCAGCAACAGCAAGAAGAAAAAGTCGCGCAGCAAAAGGGAGATCATGTGCCAGATCTACAGGCCCAATACGGGCCTGCAGGTGCGCCATGAATCGCTCTTCGAGCTGGAGAAGAAATACCGAAAGGTGGCCAGCGACGATGCGGAGCCCCACTGGACGGAACAGTACGATGCATCGGTGAACACGTGCTCGCACGCCTATTGGAACGGCAACTGTCGGAACGTGAGCCTCGGCAACGATTGTGAGGTGAGTGCAGTGCCCCAAACAATTGAAAATCCTAACCCGAAATTATTGTAACTCTGGTTTTGTGCTCTCACACACACAGGTGGGCCTCAGGCAGCGTCTGTACCATGTACTGGCCGGATCGGTGCTGTCCGTGTGGGGACGGGTCGAGCACATATTGAATACACGTTCCAACAGCAAAATGCAAGTGATACGCATGAAGACGACCGAGGGCGAGAAGATTGTGGGCACAATGATACCCAAGTCATGTTTCGATCTCCTCATGAACGATTTGAGCAGCGATTCCGAGAAGAAGGAGGAGTTTAACCACTAAGAAGGGAATGGAACGGAACTGCTCTTTTGCATTCATATATGCGTGAAAGCATAACACAGTAGCAACAATATATATATATATATATATACAGATATACATATAAATATTCATTAACTTACATTTAAATACGAGTACATAGCATCGGAATATGTAGCGGGAGATCAACGGACGGACAGCAGCAAAAACGCTTGGAACAGAACATCCTTCTATTTTTTTTTTCTTATTATTATTTTTATTGTCATTTAAACACAGACTTTATCGTATATAACACACATGCGCCACCCGCCCTTCCCTGCAATCGTGAAATGATATACGTGCATCCATGTAATCCATGAAGAGAAACGACGGACACCCCTTCCCTCCATAAACCACCCACACCCACACAAGGATAAAAAGATATATAATGAAAGGAATGAAAACGCTTATCAATGGACTTTTTCTCAATGATTAAAACCTTTATTTTTAGTTTTAGTTGTACTTTAAATTAAAAGCTTACAAAATAAACCGCCACACCTTGTAAACTATTTATTACTATGATTATCACTAATGTAAAAATACATATATGTACTATATATATATATATATATATATACATATTTTTTTTATTAATTTTTTTTTTTTTAATATGTAACTTCCATTAAGATCCGTTCAGGAGGCTGCAGTCTGCAGCGCAGCTCAGCGTGGCGGAATGAAAAGAATGAAACAAACAAAAACACACACAAAAAACACCCCAAGAAACAGATATTTTTTTTGTTTCCTTAATGAAGCCAACACGAAGAATAGCTGTTTTGTAATTAGGTATTTTTACACATGTAATATCGTAATTAAGTTTAGCCATCAATCATTTGGCCGCCGAGCTGCTAGTGCCGTGCAGGTCCCTCAGCATTATGGAGCGATGATGAAAACAGAGGGAAGAACGCATGCAAAACAATCTGAAAACATGCGTACAATACGTCAAAAATAAATTTGCGGTTTACATGAACTCAAAATACGATAATCTTTTACTCATATGAAAGCTGTGCGGTACCTTTTACCGCCTTGCACGCATTCGGTATTCAACAAGTTTTATTTTTTTCCCATCCCATGCTACTCCCAACACAAACAAATACATTAATAATCCATCCGTATAGCATAGCTATGTTCGCTGTACAAATTGATCAAAACTGAACGGCCACTAAGAATGAACTAATGAAGAATCGAGCCAACGATAAAATAGTCATCGATTGTCAATCTGTCATCCGCTGCAAAAGTCACAAGCTGTCATTGGATGTTCCTTAACATTTATCATTGTGTGAAGTCATTGCCGAAAATTCAGAACGAAAATCTCCTACAACTATTTAATTGTGTAAAAAACTTCTGGTAAGTGCATTTCTGATTCTTATTCGCAGCTAAACTGGTAATTAATCCATCCCAACAGGACACCTCTCAGTCGTGTACTTATTTTGGAAAAATGCCCTTACGACGCAGGCTAGTTCCAGCATACAAGTGCGTAATAATCGGCCATGAGGGATGCGGAAAAAGTGCCTTCATCCAGCGGCACTTGACGGGCCAGTTCGTGCAGCAGTATATGCCCACATTCGGGATCACGGTGATCAAACTTATATTCCACACAACTCGCGGCCCAATCTGCTTCGAAATGTGGGAGGGAGGGAAGGCCGAGTACGTGCGATCCGAGGGTCCGAATCCATTTTTCAAGAAGGTCCACTGCGCCATCGTAATGTTCGACATCACCCTGAAGGACCCCTCCAAGAACTTTGCAGCATTCCGCGCCATGACTGAGATGGTCTCGCCAGACGTGCTTAAATACGTTTGTGTCAACAAGGCGGATCTGAAGCAGGGCAAGCCCAACGCTCGGCGGACGAAGATCTACCGCTGTACAAGGATATCTGTTAAGAATAACATGAACACACTGGTGCCCTTTCAGCACCTCGCGCGCAGAATTTTCAAAGACCGCTCGCTTAAGCTCATGCCCAGGCCAACAATGCTGCCGGCACCCGTGAAGCCCCCTCGCCAGGAGAGACAGGCAGAAAAAGATAAAGAGAAAAAGAAAAAGAAAGAGAAACAATTTAAGATCATGCGCAGGAACACAGATGCATGAAACCCAAGACAGCGAGTGTGTGCGCGTGTGTGGCTGCTACATCGGATGACACATCAAAAAACATAAGTACACACCTAAAGCGTAGAGGTTAGGTTATTGTTTGCCTCCGACAGTACTTCAATAAAATGGTATTTGGTGTTCTATAATGGAAACAAATTTGATTGATATATGAAATTTTTTAAATGTTTCATTTGTGCGTGTGTGTGATTGCATTCTGTGTGGGTGGGTGGTATAGGTGGGATTACTTTCCCTCATTCGGATGTTGTTCTGCCTAAACTGTTGCTGTTGCAGCGGTGGGCTTGTGGCTTAAAATCAAAAAGCAAATCAATCTGTTTTTATCCTGCATAATTTGTTTTTGTTAATGCGTTTTGAAGTTGATTTAGAATTTGGAACAAGCTTGTAATGCATCTTGTACAGCAGAGGCCGTTTGAAAATTTGAATTGAAATTGTCGCCGGGCAGAGTATCGTTATCGATATATCGCACTAGGATATCGTAATGCTCATAAAAACGTTTCGATACATCGCTTGTCCGTCCCTAGCCGGCAATGCAGACGATGGGCGAAAGAGGGAGATAGCCATACTACAGCTGTTCTTGTTTTGTTATTTCATAATATTCCCAATTTAAGAGGAGCGCGAGGATCTACCTGCAAACGATATGCAAAGTAACCAGAGCATACGACTGCTGTCCCTGGCCAGGCACCTGATAAGGCGGACAGCGACTCAAGCGTCCCAGCAAACGACTGGAGCAACAGGAGCAGGAACAGGAGAATCGGTCAGTTCCTCCTCTGGGACGGAACAGACCACGCACTTTGGCTTCAAAACGGTGAAGGACAGCGAAAAGGAACAGAAGGGTATGCCATGGTACAGCATGGACACATGGAGCGGGCGATGTAAACATATCCCAAATGCTTTCAGTCCACGAGGTGTTCGAGCAGGTGGCCAACTCTTACGACATGATGAACGATGCCATGTCAATGGGCATACATCGCTTGTGGAAGGACATCTTCGTGGAGCGTCTGGGCCCGACGCATGGCATGCGATTGCTGGACATGGCCGGTGGCACCGGCGACATCACATTTCGCTATCTCAAGTATCTGGCCAATCAGGCGAATCCCCAGCAGCGACCCAGCCATGTGACCATCTCGGACATCAACCAGCACATGCTCGATGTTGGCAGGGAGCGGGCCCGCCGTCTCGGCCTGACCGAAGAGCAGTTGCCGAACACAAAGATTGCGTGGCAGTGCGCCGATGCCGAGCGGCTTCCCTTTGAGGACGCAAGCTTCAATGCCTACACGATTGCCTTTGGCATACGGAACTGCACGCATGTGGATAAGGTAGGATGTGCCCTTGGTGTCGTCCCAATTTCATTCATTGCATCGCATCTGTGTCCCGCCCCACAGGTGCTGAGCGAGGCGTATCGGGTGCTGCAGCCTGGCGGACGATTTATGTGCCTGGAGTTCAGCCATCTGACCAACGATACGATGCAGTGGCTGTACGACCAGTACTCGTTCCAGGTGATACCGCCCATGGGCCAGCTGCTGGCCGGACAGTGGCAGGCCTACCAGTATCTAGTGGAGAGCATTCGACGCTTCCCCAAGCAGGAGCCCTTCAAGCAGATGATCGAGCAGGCCGGCTTCGACATGGTGTCCTACGAGAACCTAACCTTTGGCATCGTCAGCATACACTCCGGCTTCAAGCTGTGATTACGCATGGATGGGATCTATTAGTAGTTTTAGAAACGAAACCCTTTGTTGGTATTTTAGCTGTTGAGTTTTTCTGTTTCCATGCCGATCACGTACTCCCGCGACGCTGCTGTGTGTATCCCGCCATCACCATCACCGTCAAGCATCGCATTGAACGAGTTGATTTTTATTTTTCTACCGTGCGCTTACATTAAAGTTTTTATGTGGCTCTTTGTCAAATATTACATGTGCTGCCAAAACGAAACTGGCGAGATTTACTTGCGCATTGCAAGGCCTGGGAAAGACCTTGGGGGCTGCAGAGACCCAGATACGAGTACGAGATGCCCCTTAGATAAACCCCCCCCCAAAAAACCAAATCGTTCAGATTTCAACCATTGAAATTCAAAGCTCAATTTTTGCTCAATCAAAGCAGAGCGAAAAAAAAAGTGAAAATCAATGGAAACTACGGATAAATACATACTCGTATGTGCGCTAATTGAAATTTCATTTAAAAAACATTTTTTGTTGTTGGAAGGCACGATATCTATAGCGTACGAATATCGCTATATTGTACGACCACATGCCGCTTGCCCCAGTGGCGATCAAATTTAGTGCAGGTGAAATTTATGCGTGTGAATGTGGAATTTCATTCACGAAATAATGCCATCGAAATAATGCTAATCGACAATTGTTTGCCGTCTGCTCTTCTTTGGTTTTATTTTGATGGCAATTATGCTTTCACCATTAGAGCGGGTGCGAGGCGGGGGCGGGTACGGTGGCGCTGTCGCTGGCGCATTTACATCTCCTTCGCGGATCGATGTTACTTATGTAACCTGCCATAAAAGCGGCTCTGGAATGGTTTGATGGCTTTATTTGATTTGTATCTTAATGGCGGCCTGGCCAAACGGTGGCAAAACATTCGATGGCCACTTTTGGGGCGGGTAACCGATACCGTCTCGGTCGACGGAAAGTGAAAAGTGCCATGGAACATGGAACATGGAACGGGGGCGGGCGGGGTCTTTTGCGTGCAGAGACGTGCAGCGACGTGCACCGCATGCGTAGGTGGATCGATGTCAGATCGTGACAGTGGGGCAAAGGGAATTGCAAATTCCAGCAAACTGAAGAAATTCAATAAAGCCCTCTACTACAATACTCGGGTACAAGTCATGACTTGAAATCGTTGGAATAGAAACCAAGAGAAATATAATGGAATATTAATAAAATGAGTAGTTTTATGAGATCGTAGAACTGTAGAATCCCTCCTTATTTCGTGTACAGAAAGGGATTAATTAGGCAGGGATACATATATGGTAGTTCTTATGAAGATATTCAACGATCCATATTTCCGCTGGATGTTTACACTTTAGAAGGCTTCTCGGCAAGTCTTTGAGGCATACACTTTGTGTAGATCTTGGCATTCCTTACATAATACTTGGTCAGGGTTTCAGGTTGAAGTTGAAAGAAGTGTCCCACTTCTAAGTAGGAATCTCCTACTTTTCGTGGGTGGAATATTACATCTTTATAGGAACTTCCATAAAGGTTTCATTCAATTTATTTATGCACATATGAGGGAATTCTCGTTTCGAGATAAGAGTACATTTTGAAGGGCTTAGCACCACTGTGCTCGGCTCTTCGGTCAGTGGGGTCCAGCATAATGAGGTGTTTTGGGTGGTTCGGGGGGTAATTTCGGGAGGGTGATGGCGGCAGGTGAAATGGCAGCGTAAAAGTCATAAACTGCCCAACCGCCGATGGCCTACCGATGAGCCCAGGGTACGGGCGAGCGGTTACTGCACTTGACGATGGCTGATCGGCGGATCGGTGGATCGGTGGATCGGCGGATCCAATGGCCAATGGCCGATCGATCGGCGGTGAATATAGCTGTTTTGTATGCACCGAAGGTGGCACAGTGGCACCGTGGCACTCCGCTCCGATATCCGCTTTATAAATACAACAAACACCAAGGAAGTTCGTTTCATTTTCTTGGCAGCAATCGAAGCGTTGACATAACCACATAGCAAACCAGCAGTGCCAGTGCACCACCTGTCGCACCACACGGATTATACACTATCATCACAGCACCACCCCCTGACCCACCCACCACGAATCGAGATGAAGCTCTGTCCCAGCTCGAGGAGCATTCGCCTGCTGTTGGCCATCGCCCTGACAATCGCCATAGCGGGAACCGAGGCGGGTCGTCTGCGCCTGCGCCACTCTAGCCGCCAGGTTGCGCCCACCACAGCCACAGCCACAGACACAACTACCAGCCCCACCAAAGCCGACAGTCCAGTAACCGCTGAGGAGAAGGTGGTGCAGCCGACGGAGGAGAGCAGTGCATCCGAATCGGCGGGGGCCAGTGAGGACTCTGGCTTGGCCAGCGGCAAGCACAAGCGGGGCATCTTGCATGGCCACCATGGGCACGCCCTGCACGCCTCTGCGCCCTGGCCTGCACGCACCTATGCAGCCCACTATGGCTACAGCCTCCAGCTGCCCGGCGCCAGCAGCTTCTTGGCCGCAGGCCCCGCCCAGGTGCCAATCGGTCATCGCCATGGGTTCGTGAAGCTTGGAGCCGTCTCCCCCCTGCACGGGCTGCACCTCAAGCCACTCTCCCTGGCTGGAGCTGCGTCTGGCCCAGGTCTGGCAGCCGCCTTCCTGCCCGCAGCCGCCGCCGCTCCCGCCGGATCGCTAACACCCTCTGTGGGTGGAGGAGGGCTTCCACTGGGAGTCGGCCTCGCCAGCGCCGTGGCATCGCCCTCGTATGTGCTGCGTCCTGGCAACGCCGTCGTCTCCTCGTACAGTGTCAACTATCCGCACCAGCATCTGCAGAAGCCACAAGTCGTGCTCTCGTCCGGCCCCAGGCCGGTGCATTTCCACGGACCAGCCACAGCAGTCGGAGTAGGGGCAGCAGTCCCAGCCCATGGCCATGGCCATGTCCATGCCGTGCAGGTGAGTTCTGAATGGAGTGGAATGGAAGACATTCAGTCTGCATCGCAATCCCTTGCTCTCTTTCAGCCTACCTACGTGCAGGCCCTGGCTCCTGCAGCTCCTGCTGTGCCTGTCCAACCCGTCCAGTCGTTCCAACCGATTCAACCAGTACAGCACTACCAGCCCCTGCAGCCCCTGCAGCCCGTGCAGCCTATTCAACCAGTACAGCACTTCCATGCCGTGCAGCCGGTGCAGCAGCCGTCGGTGACCTTTGCTGAACAGCCAAACATTCCCTTCATTCCCCAGTTCGCGGTGGGACCCCCATCCCCGGGATTTTCGGGTGTCCCGACCTTCGCCTTCCAGCCCGCCCAGCCAGCGGTGCCAGCACAGCCTCCACAGCCCGCTCAGCCCGCCCAGCCGGCATCGGCACCAGAGGGACCCGAGGTACCCCAAATACCACAGATCCCTGACATTCCACAGATCCCTGCCATTCCGCAGATACCGCAGATACCACAGTTCCCAGTGAATCCTCAGTTTCCGGGTATTCCCCAGTTTCAGGGCTTCCCACAGTTCCCCGGATTTCCACAGGTGCCACAATTCCCCCAGACACCCACGGCACCCGCTGCACCCGCCTTTCCGCAAGCTCCGCCCAACAGCCAGTTCTTTCCCACGGTGGTGCAGCCACCGCTGCCCCAGCAGCCGCCCACGTTTATCCAGACGGAGGCGCAGTTCCCTGGCGGAATAGTCCCGCTGCCGGGATCGAGTCCAGTGCGCCCCGAAACGGGCACGGCCATAGCCTCGCCCCAGATACCACCCCAGGCGCCCGAGCAGCCGGAGCCCGAGCAGGCGCCACCACCACCACTGCCCACAGTGCGTCCCACACAGCAGCAACCGCAGCAGCCGCAGCAGCCGCAGCAGCCATGGAAGCCGGTCTTCTATCAGCCACCCACGGAGTCGGCGGCAGCCTCGCCCAACCGTCCATCGATCACGCTGCTGCCACCCTACGGCAGTGCCCCCGCAGAGGGTGAGAATTCATTTGACAACAGAACCTGCAGAGCCTGCAGAACATGTGCTTACATATCTTTATTCTTGCATCTTCCAGGCTACTTACCGCCTGCCGGCTCCCAGCCATCGGCCTTTAGCTCCTCCAGCGGTGGAGTGGGCAGCCAGGGAGGCATCTTTGATCAGCTGAGCGACGCGGAGCTGGAGCACATCTTCGCCCAGGCCAATCTTGCGCAGCAGCAACACCACGCCCGCACCCACTCCTACCACCACTACTGAGAGGAGGACGAAAAGGAGGAGGAGGAGGCGTGGCTTTTCTCTAGTGATTTTTCGAAATGTTTTTTTTTTTTGTTTTCGTTCATGTTCTCAAGTGGTTTTTATTCTTATTGTTAATTAAATTATGATTAATTATAGTAAGTTATTTATGAAAGATACGATCCGCTTGAGTTTCTGTGCCTGTTCCGATATGAAGTCTTTTTATGTTGCCACATCTCGTGGCACAAGGGGAGTTATTGGTCGAAAGTTCAAAGGCAGAACTATTGAATCACTGGGCCCCACACTGGCCTGAAAGAAGCGGTATCTTACAGATTACTTAGGGATTTAAATGGGAATCAAATCGGAAATGAGGCACCTACCCTTTGATAGTGTACTTCTGTTGTCTGACGAGTCGCACGATGTAGCAACCGCACACACACACATTCGCTCTCCGTCTTGGGTATCTGTGTATCGGTGTATGATCTTAAAGGTCTTCGCCTTCTTCTACCTCTGTCTCCTCAAAACTGAGCTCCACTGGTGCCGGCAGCATTGTTGTCCTGGACATGAGCTTAAGCGAGCTGTCTTTGAAAATTCTGCGCGCGAGGTGCTGAAAGGGCACCAGTGTGTTCACGTCAGTCTTAACAGACATCTTTGTACAGCGGTAGACCTTCTTCTGCCGAGCGTTTGGCTTGCCCTGCTTCAGATCCGCCTTGTTGCCACAAACGTATTTAAACACGTCTGGCGAGATCATCTCAGTCATGGCGCGGAATACTGCAAAGTTCTTGGAGGGCTCCTCCAGGCTGACGTCGAACATTACGATGGCGCATTGGACCTTCTTGAAAAATGGATTCGGACCCTCGGATCGCACGTACTCGGCCTTCCCTCCCTCCCACATTTCGAAGCAGATGGGGCCGCGAGTTGTTTCGAATATAAGTTTGATCACCGTGATCCCGAATGTGGGCATATACTGCTGCATGAACTGGCCCGTCAAGTGCCGCTGGATGAAGGCACTCTTTCCGCATCCCTCATGGCCGACTATTACGCACTTGAAGGTGGGAACTTCCTGGCGTCCTGTTGCCATTGTTACAGAAGAGCTTCACTACGATTGAGAGTAAGATTGAGATTGAGATTGAGGGGAATTTTCAGACTCAACAAACAATGACAGTCACAGCTTAGATAAAATGTTCAATGAAATTTTATCTGGATAGACTGATTCGCACCCGTGAAGGTGAGGATATGTAGAATCCTCGCCTACGTAGTTCAAATAAGGGCCTTGCTCTCCCCATCTCGATTTAAGTCCCTAATAGATCTGTAAAGTATCATTCTTTTCGGACTAACAGGAAGCCCTGGGGTGCAATCCAAGCAAAAAACTAAACCATATGAAGTTCAACAAGATTCATCCTTTACTCATGGAATGTACATATGAATATGTAATGTACTTTTCGCAGTATCAATCCGATCCGATAATCGAGTCTCCCTCCCTAAGAAAACTTGTGTTTGTTTGAGAAGCGTCATCTTTGGTGGCATTTGGATCCGCAGGGGTTCGAACTATGGAATTTCCACATGAATTATCAAACACTCGCGTAACGGTAAGCAGAAACACGTTCCATTCCTGAGCTTTTGCGGAGAGCTTTGCGGCGTGGGCTTTTCACCTTGAACTTGAATGGCAGTACCGGGTGGGAGGCGATGCTGGTGAGCTTTTTGTCGATTCATTCATAGATTGGCCAGCCGTTTTGGTGAATGAGTGGGCTTGGGGTTCGGCGTGGGGCGGGACGAGGCGGGTCGCAGCGGGGCCACCAGGGGAGCCAAATGCCGCATGCCACATGTTGCAAGCGCTCGGCTCCACATTCGATTCGCCTTCAGTTGTTTGTTATCGTTGGCAGCGAACGCACACCGCTCATCGCACACCGAGAGTCGAGTCCGACAGTGTCCGCCGATTGACGGAGTGGCGCCAAGAGGATCTATGAGATCCCAGCAGAAATTCGCAGCCGAAACCGATCTCGCGACGATCTCAATTCGAAGTGCATCGAAATAAAATTCGAAAGTTTTTTGTGTTTTTTTTTTTTGTCAGTGTGGTGGGTCCCCGTTCCCCCCGTTGTAGTTTCAGTGTTTGTGCCGATTGCAGTTTTAATCTAAATATAAAAACGAAATCTTAGGAAATTGTTTATGGCCCGATTCGGAAGGAAAATAGGCAACAATCCCGCGCCGATGACGAGAACTCCCCAGAGAGATATTGTGACGGGAATGATGACAATCGGGATCATGCGTACGTCTTGGACCAATAAACAATTCCCATTTTTATTTTCAATTTCCCAGTTTTTTGTTCGGTTTTGATTTTTTCTTGATAATCGTTTATTTATCACAATGCAATTGTTTATTCGTATGGGCCATAAGATATCTTGATATGGAGATGTGAACGGGTGTATATTTTTGATCTACTTTATTTACAATGTTTCGAGAATAACAACTGCGCCACCCCAGACAGACCATAGCTGGCCAAGATATTGGCCATATGTGGACAACTCAGTAGATCTGTTTGCGAGAGAAGATACAGATACTCGTTACTCGCCGAGATATTTCCAGAATAGAGTGTGATTGTATTATCTACTTAAGTTTGGAGTGAAATGATATCATTAAGATAATAATAGGATGAAAGAGTATACAATTTGAGATGAATACAACGATGGTTCAAATTGGAAGTTCTTATGGGAGTATAATAAAGAGATTTATTAATAGATAATACATACATATGTGCGACGCATGAGGGAAACATTGGAGGAAGTTGGAATATATGCATTCCTATATAAAGAATGAAATCTGTGATCTCCATTGACATACAAATTTAAGACCAAAAACCGAAAAAAGAAACGAAATGAAATGAAAACTAGTTGGAAATTGTATTAAATGTGGAAAATGGTTTACAATAATCAATTTCATAGTCCATCCAGTATATATTTCAATGGATATACATTTATTCCTATAATATTTTATACTGGAGATGTTCATGGAACCATCTTCAAAACAAGTACACAACCGAGTTTCAATTAAACATTTTTGTTCCTTCAATTTGCATATTAATTTAAGTTATTAAATGGAACCAACGGCCCCCTGGACCCCATGGATGCTATATAGGAAGAGACTTTCCCCAACTCCGTGTCTCTATCTCTCCCCTTTTCATCGCTCTCTACATAGTGGATATCTCTTTCCCTCTGGTTGTCTGTGTTACATTTTTGTAATAAAATGTCATTAAGAGTAAGTGCGTGGTGCCGTTTAGATTTATGAGCTTGAATGAATTCGCCAATGGCTGAGGAGCAAGGGTAAGGGTAAGCCCCTCTTTGGGGTTCGAGGTGGGCTATCATCGATGCTGGACTGCTGGATGGGTGGTTTTTGGTGTGGTTTGAATGGCTCTAGTGGTTCGAGTGGTGCGCCTTCTCTGCGGTTTTCGTGGTCAGCAGCGCGGCCTTGGAGCCATGTAGATGTTGTATGTGGGACTGGAACTGCCAAAAAAGTTCTGTTATTAGTGGTTGCCAGTTCGACAGGCTTAGCCACATCCCCTGCCAGTGGCCATCAGTCGCCAATGGATACCTTTTATGGCTTGGGCAATGGGGATTACATTTGTCTCCATGCCTCCAAAAGTCCTCTTCTCCCTGGAAACGATTGCTTCGGTGGAAATATGGGGGAGATTAAGGGAAGATACAGGGAATGTGTCAATTATTCGATTGAGTTTCTCAAGTGGAATTGAATTTCGTGCAAGGAAATTCTATTTGTTGGAATTATAGGATACGCACACGGGGGGAAGAGCAATTATTATTATATTTTTTAGGTAGTAAGAGGTGTTCCTGTTCCCCCAAAAACCTAATAAATGCTTACAAATAAAACGATTTGCATACACCATAAATGTGTGTCTTAATGGAATATCTGCAAATTATATACATATGTCCAAATTAGGGTTTTTTTTTGTTTATTCATTAAAGTATTATATGTGCAGATCCTAGGAAAGATCTAATGAGATATTATATGTATGAGGAACAATTTTGGATATTTTGATTTTTGAATAATTGTTTCAACTTTTACAAATTAATATAAATTAAATAAGTCATTTCAGTGTTTTCGTAAATCCAAAAATCTGCTGAATATCGGCCAAGCATTTGCCAAAAAATTACAAAAAATTAGTGGAAACGTTTGGAATGGCGGCACACGTACTGCGACACTATAATAACCGATCATCCGCTTCAGTATACAAATAAGAGCTAGCCATTTACTGCTAAGCTACTCTGTGTGAAAGAGAGGACAGAAACCGAGAGTGAGATTGAGGCAGTGGAGACAGCCACAGTAAAATTGTTCCTATATTCTCTCTGTAATGATCCGATAGCAACCATATTCTGCAAGATCTGATAGATGGGATAATTCTTTTGAATTCTGCTTTATAGATTTTATGGCCTTTGATAGGACATGGCTATATCAAGAGTATATATACTTTATATGATCGCAAGCGCTGGGATCCTTCTGGCTCTGATATATTACCGTACCTCTGTATGCCTCATTGATGGTATAAAAAGGCGACGACAAAATCCAAGCTAAGGTCCAGTTTAACACGACGATTGGTCGCCGGCCACAAAACATGAAAACGTGAAAAAGCGTAATGACGCAAGAGACACCATCTAACGCAGAAAACCCATCATGATTCCCCAATTTTTCGTCTGCAAATACTAAAGCGGTCTCTAGTCCGAGACGCAAGCGTGAAAATCGTTGGTAATTGTGGCGGAAAAAATGCCAAAGAAAAACCGGAAAAAACAAATTGTAACTCAGACAAGGAGCGCCCTCAAAATATGTGCGTTGCCCACCTCTGCCCATACAGACACACTATCAATGGAGGGGATTGGGATTGGGATTGGGAAGGGGATTGGGGGAAATGTGAAAGGAAACCGGGCAACCGATTTTCCACTTAAGAATATGTCGCCCGCGGCATAGTTCGAGGACTCGTATGAAATATGCACATACATATGTAAGTATGTGTTTGGGTTTGGGTTTGGGGAACACCCTCTTCAAGGGTCCTAAGAAAGTGCCCATTCGATTCGGATGGAGTCCCCCTTAAACGAGCATGGGCTGCTGGTAATTTGAATGCGGGACAATCATTACATTTAAGGGGGAAATGTTCTACAATTTCAGCAGCCCTGAGTAATCCACAGCATCCCCACCATACCATCATCCAGCACATCATTGTCCAGACCAACGCTAATCGATGCCCGCAAGGAGGCTCGGCTCTCGAATATCACGTTGCAGGCTGCTCGGGGACAGAGTGAGCTTTTAAGTTGATCAAGTAATCCATATAATTTTATTTTATTTTCGAGGAAATGTGAAACTTCTCATAATTGAATTGTCCATGGAGACTGTCCGGCTGTCCGGCTGTCCGGCTGTGCGGCAATGGCAATCTCGTAAAGGTTATGCATCATTAGACCATTCCCACACCACAAGGCGGAAGTGATACGTATCGTATCACTGGATGGATAGATAGCTAGATGGATAGTAGGTCCTTCTTCTAAATGGACATTTTAGCCATCAAAGACTGGAGTTGCAGGACCACTGAGTGATTGCCAGAACCAAGGAAACCCCAACGAACGAGCACAAGTGTGGGGCTGGGCAATTGCTCTGCCTATGATTGAAGGGCGCATAATGGGTATTGACTCCCCAGAGATCCAGACCTCAATCCACCATTCCTCCTCGCTAATGACGTGAGACAGCATTTCAACTTCAAAGAAACAAAAACAATACCAAAAACATCAAACATGAATTGGTGGTAGTGCTTCATTTATGTTTCACACATACGAAAAGATGTGGCGAATCTTAAAGAACCATTTGGGAAATAGGTATTATGCTTTGCAATACTTTTTGTCTAATGGTACTCAATCAGTGGCTGATTGATTTCATCAATCACAGCGTTTCACCCATTCATAAGGAAGAAAAATTAGTCGCCGCCTTCGAGGAACCAGCTTCAAATTCAGCTCTAAGGAAATACTATTCCCTACGCTAATGGCTTTCCAAAAGTCTGCCCCGAACTTTAATCATGTATTTCGCTTTCATCTAAGACCCATCGAAAAAGTTTCCAATAAGGACACGACTCGTATTGAACCCCATGGGGAGCGCAGGAAGACAGGCGATCCCATCCTCAGTGGCTTACTCGTACGTCAATGCCAGACCCGGCGGTACATCTAATTAACATTTGGCAGAGCATTTTCTATACCCAGTACGCATTGCAGAAGGCAAAAAGGAATGGCATGCCACAGGTTTAAAGATATGGAACTCCGTGAAGCTGTAGGCAATCGATTCATTCAAAATTCTCGCCATTAGGCACTGAACATGTCTCCCCAAGTAGAGGGGTATCTCTTAGTCGGATATACCATTCTTGATGGGTTTTTTCACTCAAGTGAAAGCAGCTGGAAAAGGGACAAATTCGGTTCTGGGGCTTTGGTTTGCCAGAATGTTGGGATAGAAGATAGAACGTCGGTATTTACATACGAGCACATGTACGGTGCGGTACGTGTGTGTGTTTGCGTGACCCCTGACCCTGCCAAGTGAAAAAATGAAAAATTACAGGCGTAATTCGTTGATTGAAAGGCAAACGCAAAGAGCCAGGATACAGGCTAAGAGGAGCAACTAACTGAGATAAAAAAGGAAGTCCCAAGCAAATAGAACCAATAAGGCAAATCGGCCTAGAAACCGCTTAATTTCGGCAGGGCCCCTGCCACTTCCTCATGCCTGTGTCTGTCTGTCTGTCTGGTGTCTGAGTGTGTGTGTGTTTGTGTCTCGCATGACCTCTGACCCATGAGCAGTAGCTCCAATCCCGACATTAACCATTTTGCCATCACATTTATATTCATTTGTGTGTTCTTGCTGTATTGTTTTTGTGCTGTCAGCGGCAGTTCAAACAACCAAACTATTGACATGAACTCCACCACCTCCACCTCCACCTCCATCCCCCCTCAAAGATTACTGAGGGTGATCGATCCTAAGCCCCACTCGTTCATAGTAATTGAAGAGGTTGTGAGAGAGTGAGATGTGAATGTGGATGTGGATGATTAATACTCATGAAGTAATTAAATTTGGAAGAATGGCGAAGCAAACAGATGCACATGTGGCAGCCGGTAGCCCCATTTCGATTTGCATTGCTGCCATAATGGGTTAACAATTAACCCATTGGCATGTGCAGACGGACCAGAACAGGCCTCTTGAGTGGTTCAATGTATCAATCGGATTGGGATTAAGATCCGGGAACAGGAATCGTTGGGTGCTTCGGTGGGCCATTTGGCCGAATGCTCTCGTCAGAGATTTTCACTATATAAGAAGTACTTACGATATATATATATATATATAGGATCGATTGTATATATAGAACTTTGCAAGAATGGGAACGGCTATTAGAATGCCGATGAGCACTTGGAGAGGCATCTCCACATCTCTCCCTAGAAATATTTGTGTTTATCATTTGCCTTCTTTTTTTTGATTTTGTATTTTGTTTTTCTGTGCTGCCTGTTGGTTGGGGCCGTGGCCCGCCCAGACGGAATCTTGTTTATAACTTAGTTCTTCTTGGCCAAAAAAAGTTTTGTTCTGTGGCTGTTTCCCAATTCGAGGGTATAAAAATTCCATCTGCCCTCGCACTCGCACTGCCACCGAATGGGCGTAGACTCGGTCAGAGTTGAGTTCCAATCTAAACAGCCCCGTGAGTGAATAAAACTTTTGGAATTTCTCAGTTGTACTTAGTACAGGAATCCACTTGATCCCCAGTCCATTCAAGAACTGTTTAGTATGATGGAAAGCTGTACGCATTGTTTCTTTTTTGTGCTGGTCAAGTAAATCACAGTACCGACAGTTTTATTTGTAACATAGAAGAGGATACGCGGGGGGCCTCCCTAGAGGCCACAAATGATTCGCCTCTGAGTCAGCAGTCTAGATTGCAGGGGCTCCCATGAAGCACCTACCACTCTCTAAAGCACCCAAAATTATATGGATACAAAGTATGTGAATGGAAATCAATGCCAAGATCGGTTCAATATATTATATAGCTGCCATAGTAGCAACGATCGATCTACAGCCATATGTAGGCGTCTTTCTTTTCTGTTTGACAAATGATTGACTGATTCTTCTAATGGAAATCAAGTTTTTGAAATAGATTTCTTAAACGGGGGAATGGGGAATCAGCCGATTTAGCGCATTGCAATTTAAGGCTTCAGACAACAGGTTTTTTGACAACAATTTTTTCTTGTGGAATCCTGGGGAATATCTTTCTATTCATATCATGAACCTCAACTCAATCTACTTTGAAAGTGCTTCCAGGAGGACACAAAAGCGAACAAAACAAGTCAAACATCAAAGTGCAGGCAGCCGTAAAGCATAAGCCACATCTACTTCCGTGCCGTCTTCCTATCAGGTTTTCGTTTCTTTTAATTACTGCCACGAAGAGGCCACACCAGACCACTCTACTCCATTCCACCTTCCAGGCTGTCCACCTGTCCAGCGCCTTCTCTCCATCCTCTGCCCCCTGTCCTGTCCTGTCCAAGCGTAAAAACTTTCTCAAGAGTCTATTTCCGTGCGTTTGCCTTCGGTGGAGGCGGGTGTGCATGCCAAGAAAGGTGAGGGTCAGGCTGTATAAACAAATCCCAGTCGATGGTGGATGGGACCTGGGCCGGGGCCGGGGCCGGGGCCGGGGAATGGGTTGGAATGACGGAAGCTATGCGAGGAAGCAGGAGGCGGAGGAGGAGGAGGAGTGGCCAGGCAGCTATTGGAATTTATGAGCTACAAGAATACGAAAGTATCTTTTCTGTTAGAATCTCCGATGCACCTGCGACCCTGGAGCACAGCACCTGCTTCTGCTCTGCAACTGGAGGCCTCTCTGCCACCCCCCGGAGGCCAACCGGGAGGGATGGTCTGAGATGGCTCATCAATCATGAGACGAGTCCAAGACGCACATATCAAACATTTCAATTTGCGGCAAATGTGTTGACAAAACGTTGATATGCCATCGCCATCGGCCATGGGATCGGATGGATGATGGGACGATGGTATGCGGGGATGCAGCTTGTGTATGGCTGCTGTGGCATCCTAACATCCTAACCCTTTGGCGCTGTGGACTGTGGGCGACGGGCACATTAGCAACACGTGTCAAATGCTCAATATCGTTGTCGGTTGTCCTTGTCATTGCCCTGGGCCCGCGACTGCCTGATGCCTCGCTTAATTACACTTTTATGGAGTCATCCTTCCATCCGCAGTCTCGTATCTCCATCTACATCTACATCTTTGTCTCATTCGCAGTCGCAGTCGCAGTCGCAGTCGGGCCCTTCTGCATTCTCCATTCGTAATTGCAATCCGTTGTCCTCGTATCCATCTCCTCCTCCGATTGAGTTATGACCTGTAATGCAATCGCCCATCCCCAGGGACTCCTTGCTCCCCAGACGGTCGGGTCTCCTTCACTGAATATTGTTCATCTGGATAAGACATTGCATATGTCCGGAAATTGTATATTTTTCATTATCATTATCATTGTCACATCACATATCATCTCTTGTAATTATCGGACATTCAATTCTTTTGAATCCCATTCAATACCTGAAGAATGTTTCAATATTAGACAAGATATTTAGTCTATGATGGAATCGCCGCTATAGTTCTCATACTTTATTAACAGGGAACTGATTTCAAAAGCCATTTCTGAAATAGTTCCATTGGGTATTCAATCTTTAATCTTTTACTCGCCCGCATTGCCATCGATTTCGTTTTTTCGGACTGAACTTAATTTGATTTTCATTTGTTTACCTGATCCGGTCCCTTACGTAGTATAATTATTATTTTTGCCTTTGCGCTGTTGTGGCATTCACATTTGCTGTCGTGGCATCGTGTCCGTCAGAAAATCAGCCAGTCATGCTGATGGCGATGATGCCTTATCGATGGCCATGGAATGGAATGGGGAGGCCGCGAAAAGTGTCCAGGCGGGCGGCCGCCATCCATCCGGGGATATTTCACGCACCATTGCATCGCCATTGAGCCCCAAATGTACTGTGCATAATTTTTATTACAAACAATTTTATTACGCATTTTACATATTACATTTTACATATTTGCAATTTGCAATCTACAATATTCAACTTCAGATATCGAATGTTCCACGCCCCCAAATCCCATATCCCATTTCCCATATCCATATCGTACCCTTGCTCTCTGCCTCCAATCGATTCCGATTCCGATTCCTTGTGGGCACTGGCTGTGGCTCTTCGTTGAAATTGCGACGCATTAAGTGCAATCGTTAAAAATGATAAATGCACTGACATCGTTGGGGCCATGGAGAATGGGGCTAGGGGGTATGGGGTATGGGGCACTGTGCCGTTGGGCATTTGATAGGCGCGTGTTGCGGGTTTTATCACGTGAGCCATCAACGAACATCGGAACTGTTCGGATCTCTCTCTCGCTCTCACCATTCTTGTCTGTTCTGTTTCTGGTGTTCTGGTGTGTTCTGCTCAGAGCAAAGCTAATCGGATGCTAATTAACCCATTTAATCGGTTAAACAAATATTTCGGCCTCGTTAGCTAAAGAAATTTATGAAGCTCATATATAGCTTTTGGCTTAGAAACAGATGTTTGCCCGGAATCATTAATATTATTTCTTTGAATTGGGCTAGCGGATTTCACTACCAACATGAATGAAAAGCTAGAGAAAAGTCTCTCTAAGGGAGGAGGCTACACAAATACGGTCGAATCGGTCGGGTAATCCTCTGCTCTGCATGGGTGTATCTTATAGGGAAATGTGATGAGAGATCTTCGATCATTGCGGCAGGCTGGGCTCAGCCTTGAGCCGAATGATTAACGCCTAACTTATCGTTTCTTTTCTCTTTCATAGGCCGTCTCTCCATCGTTATTGTGCTCTTCCTGCTGCTCCACCTTCCAGCAGCATTCGTGGCAGCCGAAGTGACAGACGAAGTGGGAGCCGAACTAAGAGCCGATGCAGCTGTCGATGCAACAAAAGCATCGTTCCCCGTTATCCAAAGCGCGACAGAAGACAGAACACGAACGGGAGTCGGAACGGGGGGGGGAAGGAAGACCGATTCATCTGCCGGAAGGGGGTCGGCAGTGATCTCGTTGCTGGGCTCTGGCGACGTCGCGGGAGCGGAAATACTCGCACCAGACGCCGGCGACCACTGCCCGGCGGGCTACTTCCACTGCAACGCGACCGCGCAGTGTGTGCCGCAGCGCGCCAACTGCGACGGCAGCGTCGACTGCGATGACGGATCCGACGAGTGGGACTGCATGAACGAGGTGGATGCGCGTTACTGGGATCATCTTTACCGAAAGCAGCATTTCGGCCGGCACGACGACATACCGATTGGCGAGTGCTGTGAGTACCGTACCACTATTTGGGCTATTTGGGCTATTTGGGCTATTTGGGCTATTTGGGCTATTTGGGCTATTTGGGGTAGGCGTGGTCAAATGAACTTAAAGTTTTGTTCAAATATTTGGAGTGCTATATTTATCAAATACCATGCACCAAGTTTCAGCTGTGTGCCACTTATTTGGTAACTCCGACCAGTGTGCACTGTAGCACTGACGCGGCCGGCGGGTCAAAGCCATCACGGCGTGCAAATGAGTGGCGCCATGTAAATTCGATATTTGTCCGGCGATTTCCTAATGGCAATGGCAATGACATTGACTCATCATCTCGCTTAACTGTACGATGTCTGGTCTCTTTCTGTCTCCATATTTGCAGTGTGGCGCAACGAGAACTTCAGCTGTCCCTGTCGCGGTGACGAGATACTCTGCCGCTTCCAGATGCTGACGTCCCTGCCCGTGCACTTGCCGCAACACGATCTGGCAGCACTGTGAGTACAGTTGTGTTAAGCTATCTGTCATCTGTTATCTGCTGTCTGTGTCTCGGAGAAGATTAAAGTATCACAAGCCTTTTCTCGCTTCCATTTAAAATGAGAATTCCATTTGCCATAAAGTTAAAAAGGTATTTAATATAAAGGAGCAGGCAGTAGGAGGCAGCATATAATATTATTATAATACATATTTCCATTTCATGACGTTTTTTGCACTGTCAATTATATTTACAATTTTATTTTAAATTGCATTTTGTGGCATTGCATGAATGACGCAAATCTAGTACCCGACCGAATTATATTTTATGCATATTATACAGATACTAATTTGTGTATTCAAATATATTTTCATTGGCAGGGATCTAACAGGAAACAATTTCGAAATCATTCACGAGACGTTCTTCAGTTTGCTGCCAAATCTGGAGAGTTTGTAAGTCCTTTCTTAGAATAATCCTGACCATAGAAAAAGGCTTTAACAAAGAATAAACCATCTTCACTATTTCATTATAACGAAATTCCCTGAATAGTAGAAGAGTTGAGTCACCTCCAGTTGAGTCGATCTGTCCAGGCTGCACTGGCTTTTGTGGTTCTTAATTAAAACTGGAATAAAAGCTGCTGCTGCATTCGCTTTGGTAGGATGGGGGCTTTGGTAGGATGTTCAAATTTGCAAGCAAACCCTGAAGCAGTAGCAAAGCAGTACCCGTCTCGACCGCAACAAATATTAGCGCCATGCTGTGTCCTTAATGGTCCCTTTAAGCAGTCGTCGGTTGGCATTGTCGCTGGTGTCGTAGTCGCAGGACGAGTATCAGTGGTAGCCATCACATGCTGGCTTACATACAAATTACGCACCAGCCAGACAAGCACAGAGATAAGCATAGCCACGGACCAGGGACCAGGGACCAGGGACCAGGGACCAGCAAACAGATGCAGGAGAAGGCATGTGGACTCGTGTTGCAGTTTATGTGTCACTGGGCCAAAGAACACTCCGGCTCGGCTTAAATTGGACATTCTAGCCACATGTTGGACCATCTCATTCACCGGCTTTTCTTTCCCATTGGCGCTGGGGATGGCCACGATAAACAGCCATCTTTTAAGCTCACTCACCGATTCGGAATTACTCCACTAAAATATAGTCGAGTATTTTATGTTAAATTGCTACTTAGGACACCGTACTGTTCTTCCTGAATCAATTACAATTTAACACAGATTTTGGCATGACTTTAAAGCTTAAAACCCAGGGAATAGCTGCCCTTGAAAACACACTCCAACATTCTTGCGGACTAAGAGCATCTAAAATCCTCAAAAATCGTCATATTACCCTGTTCGCAAAATATCACTTTAAAATATTCTTGTTAATTGGCAACGAAACATTTGGGAAGTTTTGGGATTTTAGTTTCTCTCTTTCTGCTCAGCTCCCTTTTCTAGCGTATGGCGACTAAAGGCACTCCTCTTCCTGGGACATCGTCAACAAGCCATTCAATTCCATAAAAACCTTTCCATAAATCCATCTTCCTGTCAGGGCGATTCCGGCTCGAGAATTCGGGACGTGTGAGAAGTCGCAGATAATTGACGGCAACCGATGGAAAGCCCGTTGATAGGAGCCTGCAGCCAGGACTTGTCTCCGGCATAAATTAAATTGTTTGCAGGCGAGTCCGAGTCGTTGTCTATGTGTGTGGGTGCAACGCCCGAAGAAAAATTGTCAGAAAAACACAATCAAATTGTATTGTCTCCAGGAATATGTGGGAGTTTCATGGAAAGTATTTTTGTGGATTAATTAAAAGTAATTTTAGACACAGAGTAAGCTTTGTAACTTTTACTATTCACTTGGCTATGAGTCCATAACTTCTTAAATTCCTGGGCAAAAAACTGTTTCAAGTTGGAAACCATTGAAGAGAATTCTCGAATAATTAAAAGTAAGCCAAAACAGCATTAAGTGCTCCCCAATCAAGGCTACTTTGAATGGAATTGAATTTCAAATTGATTTGAACGCAGTTCAAGCCCCAAAAACACGCGCCTAATAAAGACGGAATGTGTCTGCGGTCTAACCCCTGGATTATCTCTTGTTAGCCCCCTGTATTTGCACATACAAATGAGCCTCAAGTTTTTGGCCAAAACAATGTCACGCGAAAAACAAAGAGCATTATTTTCCACATCTCATCCGGACCGGGGGCGGACAAAAGTTGTGTCTAGAACTTTTAAGCCGCCGCCCGCATTGTGCGAACTTTGCAATTGAATTTCATATTTATTACGTTTTATTCAGTCGAGTGTTTTCTCTTTCAGAGTCCTGAAGTTCTGCTCAATCCGCGAGATTGCCTCGCATGCACTTGATCGCCTGGCCGCCATCCCACTGAGGACCCTGTGAGTACTTCCCTCAACAGGAACCGAATCCAGAGCCAGCCTCCGAACACAACTCCTCCCTACAATAACTCATAATTAAGTCTTATTATTTATGTGCACTTAACATTGGTATTTTTTTTTTTTTGTGTTTGTGTTTTGCTACTTACTTCGATTGGCCATGGCCTCGCTTCGGTTTACTTTTTAATAATAATTTTTTCTCTCTGGTCTCTGGTTTTCCGCTTTTTTAACGCACATTTCACACTTTCCAGCTATATGGACGATAATAAATTGTCGCATCTGCCGGAACACTTCTTCGCCGAGGGCAATCAATTAAGGATTCTGTAAGTATCTCAGTATCAGTGTCCGTTTTTCATTAAATCTGGTTGTGCGGAAACCGCACCCCACATTTCCGCACGCATTAATAACCATTGTTTCTTTATGATCGAATTCATGTCTCTTTTGCGGTGAATATATGGTGCATTTTGTATAATAATGCACGAATTACTGTGATGAATGCTGTGATGGAAAATCTCAAGCAAATTTTCGGAAAGAAGAACAGACCCTTCTCTTGGCTGCATTCAGAGCCGGTTCCAGATTATAGCCTTATAACTACGAGCCCTACTGTACCCCCCTGTATCGATATTAGCCATGGCTTGGTGCCTTCGTTATTTATGCTTGTCGCTGGCTTTGTTTGCGGCTTGCAGTGCTCCAATTGAAATGCGAATTTATTGTTAGAAAATTAAAAAAAAAATATAAATACGAGTATACGACTATATGTGAAATGATGGCCGATTTATGCGCCAGTGAACAAATGCTAATTGGACGTAAATCAAATTAGATTAAGGCTCAGTCGCATGCTGATTAAATTTTAAATTTACCTACAATTTCATAATCTAAATATTGTCAAAAACACACAACTGTACCCGCCAGACCCCAATGCAATGTCCATTTTTAGGGGTCAAAGCAAACAAACGACTTCTGTCAGGGCCCATTAGTTTTTGGGCAGCCCGAGGTGGTATCGTAAATGACAAAAATCCAGTAATTGCCAATAAACGTAGGTTCGCCCGATTATATCATCTCCGAATATGGAATGTGCAGACCTTCGACACACTGCACACACAGCACACACAGCCAGCCGATGCTAATCACAATCATTGCTGTCAGCCTCTGTGGGCCATAAACTTGGCCCATTGTTTGGGCCAGTGGATCGGCGGACCGGGGACCGGGGACCGGGGATCAGGAACCTGGGACCCGAACAGGGGTTGGGGGCATTTAATTTCAGGGCCCTCCTCTGGCCCTCCCCCCCTTTCGACAGACAATGTGGCACGGCACGGCATTCCGGCCGCTCTTTGTTGTGGCGCTTTCGTTGTCCTTTTTCCCGTTCTGTGGGCATAAAAATATTAGCACAGACGGTAAAAAGTTTTCAGCTTGTTTTGTGCATTGAGTCGAGCGGGCCAAAAGGGGCCACGCCCTCGCTACCCTTTTGGCCAGTTCCGAAATCAACGGCAACAGCAGTTGGCCACAAGACAAGCGGCACAAGTCCCAAATAGATCCAAGTCGAGACGGAAATGCACTCAAGATCAACGGCTAATAACTCGATTTATCGCAGATTCTTAGCCGTATTTATCAGGGTTCTATAGCCCATATGTATCCACATATCTGGCTTATTTTCGGCACATTTCAAACCCATATTCTTGATTATGTTTCAGGCTTTCAAATAGTAATATTGGAGCCAGATTCCTCTAAAACTAACATATCAGAAGGTCACATTAAAAGCACATCCCTTGCCCAACATTTGCCGACTCAAAATCGATGATCAATCATCAACCCCTTGACATACCCTAACAAAATAGTGTAGACAAAACTGCGCCGACACACAAAAACACATAAACAACTCAGTTACACTTTTGCGGCGGATGGGCAGCAGGGACTCCGACTCAGACTCAGATTCAGAGTGCGACTCCCGATTCCACCGGATGAGTCCGGAGTCACAGCTGCACTTGGCATTGGACTGCTGCAAAACTTTCCGCTTTTGGCCAGTTGACAGTCCCGGAGAGATGTGGGAGGGAGCGGGAGTCAAGTGTGGGGTGCCTTTGTCCTGTATGGAACTTGCGTTTAATGGCTAATTAAAATCTAGATATATGCTCCGAGCTTTCGCTCTGTTCTAGTCGCGCTGCAGCTCCATTGTTGGCTGCAATCGGAGCGGCTTTTGTTGCCAAGTTTCCCCTGCATTAAAATGTGATTTTGTATCTTTTCTCTTTTCCATTGCAAAACGTTCCGTAAACCACTCCGGTGCAGTATTTTGGCACGCAACCGCCTGCACAGCCTCAATCGGAGCGATTTCCAGCACTTGCCTCATCTGCAGGAGCTGTAAGTATTTGATAAACGAAGAAACGGGAGACCACAGTGAAGGCTCTGCAGAGGCGTACCCATGCATACCCGTGTTATCCCTTTCTTTCAGGGATCTGCGGGGCAATCGTATCGAACACTTCAAGGCCGAGGTCTTTGCCCAGCTCCACAGTCTGGAAGTGCTGTAAGTATTCCTTCGTGTCAGTATTTCCGGTAACCATTCAAATTCGAAGGCTTTTATCGCCCAAAAGATATCTGAACGAGAACCGCATCCAGCTGCTGGCACCGGATATGTTCCCCAGGACCCTGCTCAATTTGCACACCTTATCGCTGGCCCAGAATCGAATCGCGGAGATAGCCACCAACACATTTCCATTTCCCCTCCTGCGATACTTGTAAGTCCCCAACCATTCCCCAGTATATGCTGAGGACAAACACATAAACATATCAATCTGTTGCCGATTGCAGATTTCTGGCTGGCAACAGATTGTCCCACATACGGGACGAAACCTTCTGCAATCTCAGCTATCTCCAAGGATTGTAAGTGGCAAATAGAAAAACATGGAAACAGATTACTAACCGACCAAAAAATGCTGTGTAAAGGGAAGATAGTTTTGTCCGTGGAAATGTTTCCGGTTGCTTGATTTTCAGTCTTACACGAAGATATTTTATGATATTTAATCGGATGAATAGGTGCAACCAGGAAGATTTGGGGCAACATTGAAAGGAAGATTGTAAGAATTTCGTTTCATATTTGGGAAATGTCCGAATGAGTGAATTACTTATTGTATTGTTCTTAGTGTTAGAATAAATTAAACATCATATACTACTAGGCTGTGGGGGAAATTCGGACTAATCCGAATGCAGGGCCTGATCTACCCCAGTGTCCGTTCATAAATACAGGGTATTCAGACAAGCAAGCAAACAAGTGTCACACCCGTGAACTCGGATGGATTTTCATTTCTGCCCCTTCGTGCCACTCGCCTTGACCTCGGACACCGAATGATGTGGGTCCTTGGGGTGAGGTTCGGGGCAAGTGTCATTTGGATTTATTGCCGTTTAAGTTTCGCTTCGGGCCGAGGAATTTAATTTATCAATAATGTTTTTTGTCTGCTCTGGGTGCGGGGCCTGAGGACCCAACCCCAGGCGTAGCGTGAGGAATGCAAAAGCCAAAAGCTGACAGCTTTTCATTTGCTCAACCTATCCGATGCTGCTTCCTTCCGCATTCCACGGGTTGACGCTGGCCTGTGGCTCAAGCGAATTTTATTTGATGCATATTGAGGAGTCGCCGAGCCCCGGACCGAGCCGGGTCGAGGCTGAGGCTGAGGCTGGCAATGATTTGCATGCAAATGCAAAAAAACAAAATAATATAAAAGGATAGGGGAAAAAAATCAGAAGAAAGCGGCAGGAAAAATCGCAAAAATGAAGGCGAACGTGTAAGGAGATGGAATGGACAAATATACCGAATAGGAAACGTGCCGCGGCATCAGTGCCTCAACTTTAATGATGAAACTTTGAGCCTGAAAGCAGTGCCCCAACCTAAGCTCCCAGCTACCAGCGAATCCCAAATGCAAATAAGCAGAAGGCGAACAAAAAACACACGCAAGCACATTACCTTGGCTTTTATGCCCGCGCGCGCCAGAGTGTTAACCAATATCCAGAGCCACCAAAGCACCAGGCCATAACTCTCCTCCGTTTTGCAGGCACTTGAACGAGAACCGCATCGAGGGGTTCGACCTGCGGGCCTTTGCGTGCCTGGAAAGTCTCAGCTCTCTGCTCCTAACGGGCAATCGTTTTCAGACCCTCGATCCGCGAGTCCTTCAGAACCTGAGCAGCCTGGACTACATGTGAGTTGAAAGCCCGATTGAAATGGTTATGACCCTCTCTCTACTTTTATTCATCCCTGTCTGTCCCTGTCAGTTATTTCTCGTGGTTCCATTTGTGTCGCGCCGCCCTGCACGTGAGGGTCTGCGATCCGCATGGCGATGGCATCAGCAGCACCTGGCATCTGCTGGATAATCAGATACTTCGCGGCAGGTGAGTAAATCCCAACATTTAATCAAACTTAAAGGAAAACCCTCAAAAGCTCTCAAAGGGAAGCCATCGCAGCTTAAGGAAAACACTTTGGCATTCCGGCCAAATATTTAGAAGTGCTGCTTGGGTGTCAGCTCCACTCGACGTCGCTGAAAATCTGTTGACTCTTGAAAATCATTAGACCGCAATTAAATCATTACCATCATTGCACACTCGAGTGTCTGGCCACAGACCGCACTCTGGAGAACTTGCCAGCTGCAATTAGGGAACGAGAGCCATGCCTATGATTGCAATCGCAATCAGGGGGCAATCACAATACTGCTGCTGATTAAAACTGGGATTGGATTTCTGTTTCTGCCTGCAGATATATTTGTCCAAAACGTTGCTGCCTATTTTTTCTCCCTAGCGACGCTTCACTCGTTATACATCGCGCGACGAATGCGGTGTGACAGGATCATCCAACGCAAATGATTCGGCTGTATCTCGACTCGGGTCGTTGCAGTCGATCCTCTGATCCTAGCCGCTCCCGCACTGCTTTCGGCAGGGCCCGACATCAGACCACTAGGTTGAATTAACAGCAAGGGGTGTATCATCTCGGCAGGACCCTGCTCCTGTGTTGCGATCACCTAGCTGTACACGACCATCTGTGTCGGCCAGCTTTGCGTCTTTGGGCTTTTGCCTAATGGTAAATTTACAGAACAAAGTTGCTATTTCTGGAAGCACACAGAATTTTGACGAGTCAGTTTGGGCCTGACATTGCCTCAAATCAAAGCTTGCTGTTTGGCTTACCACAGTGTTTTTTTTTTTTAATTGGGAGCTAAGCTTTTTTTGTCGAGTGGAAGTTCTTTTGCTCCCAATTGTCGGAGGCTTCTTTCGAGTCTATCGAGGTAACAAATGAGAATTCCTTCGTGTCGTTCGGGGTCACCAAAGGGACCCCGTCGTTTGCTTCCGTCGATGACACGAACTCTCTTTTTTGGTCTTCGGGATGGTTCGTCCTTTGGGATCATCCGTTGCAGGTTTATAGAGTTTTCGCCGAGGTCTCTAGTGCCAGCGTTCTTTCGTGTTTTGTTTCCTTTGGGATCGTCAGCTATCTTTGGCATTCCTGAGGGTCACCAAAGGGAGCTTCTTATGAGAGTTGGAAATGATTGTCCTTACCAACTATTACTCCGATTACGAGTCATCTAAATGTATTCCTTCGGCTTATAACGATTCCATTTTGGCTACCAATTCGTTGGCCTAATCGCTCTAGGTCCTTAAATTCAGGCATACCAATCCTTTTCCACACCACTACAAACCTGCTGTCTAAACATTTAGTTTGCCTTCCTTTTTGATATTTTACGGGTAGCTACTTGGCAAGGCAAATAGGTAGACCCAACAGCAGTCGAGCAACTGGGAGCAGGAGTCCTGCAGTGGTACTAACAACTGGAAGCTGGCAGCCGGCAACCGGCAGTCACTTGTCATCAACTGGTCTGAGTGATTATCTGGCTGCCTGCCACGGCGTCGTCTTCGTCTTGGTCGGAAAATGAAAATTACGTTTCCAGCAGCAGGTTCTCTTCGTGTTGCCCTCGTCCCTTTGGTTCTCTGGTTACCGTGTTGGTGGTTTGTTTGCTTGATTTTTACACATTTTGCACACTCTGCATGCCGTCTTGAGCTCCATCTCCATTTAGACTCCATCCCCATGCCCCCAAGTGCTGCACATCCAAATACTCCAACACCAAAAGCAAACAACATCATGTACAGACAGGCACATACGAAGACAGGCAGGCAAACAGACAGACAGACGGACGGATACGTAGAAGGATCCAGGGATCCAAGGACACACTGCTGACAAGAATTTACTTTGTGCTGAGTACATTATTTCATTATTCCATGTTGATGTTTTCATAAAAATTAAATACTTAGGGCTTTCAAGTCGTTGGAGCGGATCCCTATCCCTTGTTATAGTCGCTTGACTGCCGGCTCCCGCTTCCCGGCTAGTGGCTGTGCTTTTATTAGACACCTGCAAACGCTATCTCTATTTAGCAGCTGCCCTCTATCCTGGGCACCGCCATCCAGCAGCCTGGAGCCAATCTGGGTTCTGCAAGAAAAGTGCCTGCAGTGCTCAAATAAAAACTTGCTAACAATTTGCAAGTTTAACGGATTGTGCACGGATCAACACCATAGGCGGTTACACTTTCCGAACTCCAACAATGCTAGGGTATATACTTGAATTAATCATATTCGGTGCGACTCCAGATTCCCGACTCCCTTCTAGCAGAGTTAAGACCAGCGATTAAGTGGAATGTGGTGACCCCGATCATTTTGGCAACGCTAATTGAAATTCCTTATAGATTCCATATAGCCTCTTTTTATAAGACTCCATTTATTCCACTAAGTTTCCCCTAAGGCGACCAGAAGACAGAAAACTTCCTGTGCCAGATTGAAAGATTAGTTTCCTTGGTTTCCTTAGTTTCCCCGATCGCAGACAATGTCAACCCTAATTCCTGTTCAATGCTGGCTTATTAGAAATACTCTTTAGTTTATTCCATATGCTGACACCGGGTAAATCAGAAGCATTCTCTGATTTATTTAACTTGGCGTGCCTGCATTTTGTGCACGCCTGGTGATTGTCAATCATCATCCACCTACTTGGAGCTGTGACAAATGAATGGGAAGCGGAATAGCACTTGCCACTGGCATAAATTACAGAGGACAGAGCTACAAGACAGAACTCCTGCTCCTGCCCCCTCTCCATGCAAGTAGTGTACCCGTAAGCATTAGGGCAGTATCTATAATTGTCAGGGTCAGCAATTGCTGTTGCTGTTTCTCTGAATGCTGTGGCGACTGCTTTGTGCCCCAGTCTCGTCTCCATTCAAGCATCCTTGCCACACCTCCCGGCCTAGTGGCACAACTGCAATAATGAGACGCCCAGGCAATTGGCAATTGGCAATTGTACGGGTCACGAGTCAGAGAAACACAGAAACACAGCAACGTAACGCGCAACGCACATCGCACACAAAGTCAGAGGACAAACGGGGACCGGCGGAGTCTTACGTTTCCTTTAATTGCCCCAATTTATGGACATCGGCATTGGTACTCCTGTGTGTGGATAGAGGGACAATTGTCCAAAGGTTACCATGTACCCACACTTTGTCTTTTGGTCTCTACCCTAGTGTTTGGGTTATGGCCTCCATTGCTGTGGTGGGCAACCTGCTCGTCCTTCTGGGCAGATACTTCTACAAGTCGCGCAGCAATGTTGAGCACTCGCTATATCTCCGACATCTGGCAGCCAGCGACTTCCTCATGGGCATCTATCTGACGCTGATTGCCTGTGCGGACATCACCTTTCGCGGGGAGTACATCATGCACGAGGAGGCCTGGCGGCACAGCGGAATCTGTGCGTTTGCAGGTAGGCTACCCACCATTACACTCTTCCTTTTTGTCTAATTTTACCCATTCCCATCTATATTTAGGTTTTCTGAGCACCTTCAGCTGCCAATCGTCGACCCTGCTGCTCACGCTGGTCACTTGGGACCGCCTGATGTCCGTCACACGGCCCCTGAAGCCACGGGATACGGAAAAGATTCGGTAAGATTGAAACTCATTTGCTTTAAAATTACTCGATCGAGCTAATGAATGGAAAATGTACTCATACGAGTACAAGTACAAGAGTACAGGGAGGCACAAGTATATCAAATGCGTGCAAATGTGCCTCGACAAAATTGAAGCCCCGTGGCTCCAGAAAATCTATATCTTTAACCACAGTACAGTTACGTATATTTTAAATGTTGGATGGAAGGTTGCCGTGATTAAATTGATTCCTGACTTATTTTATAGTCGCTGAGATTTATGTGCTTATTCATTATGATCGACAGAAATGCATGTTTCGAGTCAAAAATTGTTGCCGATCAAGCATATCTATACTTTATGGAGTCCTTCTGTGGTATTACAGTATCTGTATTGTTATGGTGGGTAAATGCTTTATTCTTCAATTGAAAGGCGATCCCCAAATGTGAAGCTATGAAAACTAGGAAAATCCAAAAGGTACTTTTGTGGAAATCAATGTTTCGTTTCTTCGATTGTCTAGCCAATCCGTCAATCGAGTGGGAAGAGCTCAGTCAAGAACAGTACGTGTACAGGAGTTGTCGAATAGTTTTCGTAAACGAAAAAGTTCCCGAAAAACGAACAAATATTTTATTTCTATATTTTAAAAAGTTTTCCCAAAAATTTCGTGTGTTTTCTTTTTGTGAGAGCGCGATTCAGTCAGTATGTTTGAGTGCACACGGTGCCGTACACGAAAGGGAACCCTCAGCTCTGAGCCGGAATTCGAGCTTGTTGGACCGAAAATTGGCCCAGACGGCCGCCAAATTAAGGGAGTGTCGGACATTTGCCACGTCTGTAAATGCCTCACCTTCTTCGTCCAACTGGGTGCCGAAGATCGATCCGTAAGCGAACGGGATTCATTGCGAATCTACTGTTCTCTAAAGTGCATCTTACTCCCCCAGCGTCGGGTATCCGTTTTTGAGTTCCATGGCATTGCACCGCCGCCACTGCCACCCCGGTCGGTCTCTCAGCGCAGGCAAAGATTAGAGGAGTCTGGCGACGGGAAGCACCGTCCTTGCCAGCGAAATATATACACCCCGAGGACCCGCAGTAAGTCCATGGCCTGTGGGACGGTTTCTCACCTTGCCAACTCTTTCAAGATGTCGCAGCAAGCCTCTTGTGGCTTGTTTTCAACCGAAACTACCGGGCCGAAGAGCTCCGACATAGTCTCCAACAAAAAGACCAGTGAGGGTTCCTTCCTAAGCAGCCCCAACATGGACAAAGGAAAGGATGAGAAGGGGAAGTGGCAGCGAATGAAGAAGTTGGAGAAGATTCGACGTCGTTTTGAGGGCTTGGAAGTACTGGAAAGCCCCAAAAAGTCTGAAGAGCCGCCACAGTAAACAGACGAATTGAGACGAATTGTCCAAAGATGCCGACACGGAGCAGAAGTCCCTTGAAAACACTTAATATTTCCCATAAAGTAAATTTGTAAGAAATACTCACTACGAGTATGTAGATTCATTAAATTTTTGGAATGTTTAATACATAATTGTGGGGGATGCTTCCTGGATCCTTGGTAGTGCCGTGTGTATCAATGTGATTGGTCTTTTCAGAATCGTCCTGCGACTGCTGCTGCTGTGGGGCGTAAGCTTTGGCCTGGCGGCGGCTCCGTTGCTGCCCAACGCCTACTTCGGCAGCTACTTCTATGGCAACAACGGTGTGTGCCTCTCGTTGCACATTCACGATCCCTATGCCAAGGTGAGCTAGAGAACGGGGCGGGAATGGAGAATGGATAGTGGAAGATGAATAATTGGGCATTCCTTATTAGGGCTGGGAGTACTCGGCGCTGCTGTTCATCTGCGTCAACACAATGTCGCTGGTCTTCATACTGTTCTCCTACGTGCGAATGTTACAGGCAATACGAGACTCGGGCGGCGGCATGCGGAGCACACACAGCGGACGCGAGAATGTGGTGGCCACGCGGTGAGTCAAAAGCATCGCATCGCATAGCTTGACCACATCCTCTCTCTTGTATTTTTAGCTTTGCCATCATTGTGACCACCGATTGTGCCTGCTGGTTGCCCATCATCGTGGTGAAGGTGGCTGCTCTTTCAGGTGAGTTCTTCCTCACATAAATCCCAGTGGAGTGACACCATTTCGCTTACAGGTTGTGTCATCTCACCGGATCTCTATGCCTGGCTGGCGGTGCTGGTGCTGCCCGTTAACTCGGCCCTCAATCCCGTGCTGTACACACTGACGACGGCGGCCTTTAAGCAGCAATTGCGCCGTTATTGCCACACTTTGCCCAGCTGCTCGCTGGTGAACAATGAGACCCGCTCTCAGACCCAGACCGGCTACGAGTCCGGCCTCAGCGTGAGTCTGGCTCACCTGGGCGGCACTGGCGGTGGTGGGTCTGGTCGCAAGCGGCTGTCGCATCGTCAAATGAGCTATCTGTAAAGTGTGGCATGACTGTCATGCAGATCGACAGACTGCCACACAGACAGGATGCCGCGAGAGCAAAGTTTCATGTGATAGTGATCTAATAGTAAAATTTAATTGTAAATCTATAAATACATACATATTCAAAAGTTAGTTGAATCCATTTGCTTTGCATTCGATTTGTAATCAAAACGAATCTATCTATCTACTAAGCCAAAAAAAAAAAAACCATACATGTCCGATCCGATCCGATGCGGTTCCTAGTGAAAGTATAACTACAAAATTTGGACTTTGATGTATTCTGTCTCTTTTTTCTATTTGGAGCTGTTGACATTGCTGCCCGCGTCGGTGCTTGTAGGTGGTGGTCCTCGTCTTCTAAACGTTGCCCTGCGACTCGGTGGCAATGTTCACTTCCGTAGGCACATAATAGGGTCCCTCATTCACGTAGGCAGTGAAGCGCACCGTCTCCGTGGCCGTGAAGTCCGAGCTGCCCGCCAGCAGTCCCAATATCTCCCATTTTAGGTACTTGACATCCTTGTGGAGATGACGCTGACGCGATAGCAGGTGCTCTACGGCCCCTCCAGTGCCACGCAGGGCCTCAATGCCCCAGCGGTATGTGCAGAGGGTCTTGAGCAGGGTTAGAGCAGCGATCTGGAGATCGTCGAAGGGTGTGTTGTATAAGTCCATGAGGTAGTTCACCTGAGGGCCCCCGGCAAAGCTCTGGTACCACTGGTAAAGGAGCGTGCTAAAACAAATGGGGTCGAACCGTCAGAACATGTGCTAATGGAGAATATGGGTGCAGGCTAGGACTCACGTGATATCTGAGTTAGGGCGCACCGTTGTCCCCAGTATAATATTCAGCGACTCGAGCAGACGTACTTTAATTTTCGGCGATAGCTTTTGGACGTAGACACCAAGAGATTTCAGCGCCAGCAGCATGGCCGGCTGGAAGTTCATAGAAATCAGAACCTTCCCCTGCGGTGTGCTCGACAAATTTGCCAGCGTGTCCACTGCTATGGGCAGGATACTCTCGTTTTCATGTTTCAGCTGATCGAAGAGACACTCCACCATGACGGGGTAGTCGTTGATGATCTTTTGCGGCTGGATGGCGCCAATTTTGCCAAAGAACTTCATGATATTTGGAATGAGCAGCATGTTGAGCGGTTCCTGCTCGATTCTCTGCACTCGGGAGCTGATCACATCGAATACGCGACGCCGCTCCATGTAGGTGAGCCCGTGGTTCTGGTCCGCCAGCGGCACAAGGATCTCCATGACACTGGCCTGCAGCAGCACATCGGTGTTGTCCAGCTCAGTGAGGGCAGCATCCAGGATGAATTCCACGCTCTTGAGCGAACTTGCATTGCGCTTGGCCAGCATTACGCCCAGCTCGTAGGCGCGGCATCGGATGATCTCATTCTGTTGCAGCAGCTGCACCAGCCTCGACTGTATCTCGGCATCGTCGAGTCGTAGTGTAAGGACAATCGCTAGAATGCTGATGGCTGCACTGCTGCAGTCCGACTCGGGCTGAAGCAGCTCGTTCAGCACATAGACGATGAGCTCGTTGCTGGGAAGCGGACGCACAGCGCCCTCCTTGGTCTGGCGGCGCAGCTCTCGCAGCAGGTTGTTGAGTACAATCGAACGAACGGCGGAATTGGAGTGGGTCAGCCCGCGTTTAAGCAGTCCCGGCAGCTTTACGTCCTCGGTATCCATTTGGAGTGGATCCAGGCTGAGGCCCAGTAGCTCTATAGCCGCATCGACAACTGGCTGTTCCAACTTCTTCTGCTCATCCTCGCCAGCAAGCGTCGCGCACTCGTACAACTCCGGGCAGGTCAACAGCAGCTCGATCGTTTCGCGCGACAGAGTTGGCGCCTTGCTGATTGCCGTCTTCATTTTGGTTAGCGCCCCAAGGCGCTGGTCCTTGGACTTCAGTGCCTTTAAGTTAGCCACCCACCAGGTCGTCTCCATTACTATATAAATTTCTTTCAAAATTCAGCAAAATAAGCAGCCTATCGATATTGAATGAGTTGATAAAATTTAAAGTGCTGGCTAGTGACGGCCGGTGACGTTTCGTTCATCGATAGTTTTTTGCGATGTCACGGCGATGTATTATCAAATGAAACCTAATCGTACGAAATAAAATATAAATAGTTAAGCTATAATCGAATCGTTTAAGTATACTTGTCAAAACCGCAAATATCCTCCACAATATATAACCGAACATACTGTAAATAAATACTCATCCCAACATCTTTGTATATATGTATAAAATCTGACCCAATTACCCTAGAGCTTAAGGCCTCAGTAGATATAGCTCCAACTTCTGTTAATATTTAGTTTTAACTAGCTATTAGCATTATTTAATAATAATAATAATAATGTATACCTGTCAATTAAATCCTGACTGTGACTCGTTACTTAAAAATACTTTTACTGTTATGTCGCGACTCATCCCCAATGTAAAATGCAACTCTGCTTTGACGCCATCTTACAGCCAATTTTTTTTTGCGTGACGCGTTGTTGTAATAAGAAAAAGAGTCAAGTTTCCCCGTGAATTAGTGATTTAAAGTGTTCTCAACTTAGCAAGCGAAAATGTCGCAACGCTTTGCACCTGGCCAAGCGCCAGTGCAGTCGCGCTACCAACCGCCGCCGCCGTCACCCGGCATGCGTCCCTATCCGCCGCCAGGAGCCACTTTTCCGGTAAGTAAAAAACACTTCATCGATTGGTTCGATGTCTAACCCAGTTCGTGTGTGTCTGTCTGTTTTGATAGCCGCGCGGTTTTCCGCTGCACCCGAACACAACGCAGCCCGTGCCTGGGACGGCGGCACCTCCGGGCGTTCCCGGGCCTGGACCTGGACCCTCGCTCCTGCAGCGCGCCTCACAGCCGGCATTCCAGAGCGTTTTGCGCGGCACTGGCGGTGGCGGCGGCTCCGGTGGTGGAAGCAAGCGTTCGGCCGAGTCGCGCAGCCTCAATAGCGGGGCCGGCAAGGGAGAGTTTGGCACCGCCAAAAAGAAGAAGAAGCTGGCGGACAAGATACTGCCGCAGAAGGTGCGTGACCTGGTGCCAGAGTCGCAGGCGTACATGGATCTGCTGACATTCGAGCGCAAGCTGGATGCCACAATCATGCGGAAGCGTTTGGACATCCAGGAGGCCCTGAAGCGGCCCATGAAGCAGAAGCGGAAGCTTCGGATTTTCATTTCGAATACATTCTACCCCAGTAAGGAGCCCTCCAACGAGGGCGAGGAGGGTGCCGTTGCCTCCTGGGAGCTGCGCGTCGAGGGTCGCCTGCTGGAGGATGGCAAGGGCGATCCCAATACAAAGATCAAGCGCAAATTCTCGTCATTCTTCAAATCTCTGGTCATTGAGCTGGACAAAGAGCTGTACGGGCCGGACAATCATTTGGTCGAATGGCATCGCACCCATACCACACAGGAGACAGATGGCTTCCAAGTGAAGCGACCCGGCGATCGCAATGTCCGCTGCACCATTCTACTTCTTCTCGACTACCAACCGCTGCAGTTCAAGTTGGATCCGAGACTCGCCCGCCTGCTGGGTGTCCACACCCAGACGCGTCCGGTGATCATCTCCGCTCTGTGGCAGTACATCAAGACGCACAAGCTGCAGGATGCCCACGAGCGGGAGTACATCAATTGTGACAAGTATTTGGAGCAGATATTCAGCTGCCAGCGCATGAAGTTCGCCGAGATACCGCAGCGGCTCAATCCACTGCTGCATCCACCAGATCCCATTGTGATCAATCACTTTATCGAGAGCTGTGCGGAGAACAAGCAGACGGCATGCTATGACATCGATGTCGAGGTGGATGACACGCTCAAGAATCAGATGAACAACTTCCTGATGAGCACCGCCAGCCAGCAGGAGATCCAGGGCCTGGACACGAAGATCCACGAGACGGTCGACACCATCAATCAGATGAAAACGAATCGGGAGTTCTTCCTCAGCTTTGCCAAGGATCCGCAAATGTTTATCCATCGCTGGATAATCAGTCAGACACGTGACTTGAAGGTACATCTCTTCTCTACTCATATCTCTCCCATAGACCATGCTCATCGTTTGCTTCTCTGTTTTGCAGCTAATGACGGATGTTGTAGGCAATCCGGAGGAGGAGCGACGCGCCGAATTCTACTATCAGCCGTGGACGCACGAGGCCGTTTCGCGCTACTTCTTCACCAAAGTAAATCAGAAACGAGCCGAACTGGAGCAGGCCCTGGGCATACGCAATGGATAGTCATCTGAATCCAGGGTCAAGCAGCGAGACCAGCAGGAACCCATCCCTCCCCCTCATCTCTATAGCTCTTTTTTGTACCGCATCCGCGTCAGCGTCCCTGCCTGCACGCACACACAAATATTGGACCTTGCACTAAGAGAATAAAAGTGGCACAAATAATTATAGAAGCTATCTATCACTTATTCCCTCGGCTGCCTCCCACCCAACGCCCAGAATACCCGCGCCCCGTGAGAGAGAGCGAACCAGTTGTATCCCATTGAAAATACAAGATTGCAAGATTTTTAGACTACATCAAAGGACCTTTTGGGGCCTTGGTTTTATTTTTTAACTGTTCTTTCTGTTGCTACAAATGCTACTGACGGAGTTGTTGTTTGAGGAATATATCAAAATAGGGGCAGAAATTGACCATGCACTTAGGCTAGACCTAGAGCTATAGACGGAATGTGCAAACTACTGTCTGTCTCTCCATTTATCATTACATTTTAGTTACGCTTCTTGCGGCTTGCCGCCGCAGCTCGTGGCTCAGTGGCTGCTGCGGCTGATGCTCCAGTTGTTGGTGGCGCCGTTTCGGTGATGGCCAAACCCGTGTCCAGGCGATTCTTGTCGACGGGATAGAGCCAACGCTGATACAAATATATAAGGAAGACAATGTCGTCGCGTAGGCAGGCCACACGATGAGCCGTTGGCATCGTGATGATGAACGCGAAGAAGTCATCGATGAACGTATTGAAGGCCTTGTACATGAAGGCGCGCCAGGGCAGGGCGGCCACCGACTTGAGCTTGTAGTTGACAAACAGCTGGGGCAGCATGAACAGGAACCCAAAGGCGTACACTCCGTTGACCATGGAGTTGAGGGTCCAGGAGTACCACGAACGGTGCGGCTGATACAGCAGCGAGTAGACGGCCCCGCCCAGGCACAGCGGATAGAGCAGATAGCTGAGGTACCGCATGCCCTGGCGATCGAACTGATCCGTCTGCTGTTCGGCCAGTTGGCCGTTCTGTTGCTCTGTCTGATCCTCCAGTTTGCGGCGCACAAAGCCGCTGAAGCTTAGTTCGAGGCGCAGTATCTTTTTGCACTTCCACAACTCGATGAGGGTGCCCAGGCCGACGGGCACTATCACCAGATACGAGGTGTTCTCGTCCAGCAGATACAGGAATATCACGAACTGTGAGAAAGCCCGCCACAGGGTGGTGCGGGTGGAGAGGCCCTCGTACGACTGCTTCTGGCGCCAGAAGGAGACGTCATTCTTGAAGCTCAGGAAATCAAAGAGCATCTGTCGAAGGACGGGAACGAAACCCCTTTTAGAGGATACTACAATCGTGAGAGCTACTACTCACATGAATGCTGGACACGAAGATGGTGCCGCAGAGCAAATACACGTTCGTGTCGGAGAATATCCCTTTGACTTCGTCAATGTCCTTGGTGGCAAAACCGATCGTGAACAGCGCCTGTGTGGCGTGCTCCATGAGCAGCATCAGCCGGAGCTTGCCCACGCCCACTGGCTTGTAGTGGAAGCTGAATGTGAATTCGGTGGTGTTGCGTGTGATGGCCACCAGGTCCTTCATGCGGGTGTTGAACGTGTCCGTCTGTAGTATGGGCAGGATCTGTTGCATCCGATTGACGCGTATTAGCTGGGCCATCTCCGGCGGCACATCCGCCTGCGACACCGAGAACAGGTCCGTCAGCAGTGTCACATACACATTGGACCTCATGTGGGTGCTCGGTCGTCCGCCAGATGCTCCCTTACTGTTCCCGGATGAGGCCTTACCCTGCACCGATTTTTCTCCGCTGCTGCCGCTGCCGCCCGGCCGAGCCTTATCGGCCGCCTCGCCAAGCAGGTTGAAAGCCTCGGCACGGGGCACCATGTAATCGGTGAGACTGAGCGTGTGCAGAACGGTGGGACCGTCGCGGCGAAGGCTGCGCCACTCGAGCGGCTCACCTTCCAGCGCCAGGACTACGTGCATGTAGAGCGAGCCGTTGCGGCGCGTTTTCAGCGGTACCTCCACCTCGAAGTCGTGCTCGAAGGGGCGGCTGTAGTCAAAGCGCTTCGCCTTGTAGATGTCCTGCACCTCGCTGGCTATCGGATGCGGTGTGCGCGACGTGAACAGCGCCAGCTGCATGCGTGGCTTCTCCGCCAGGAAGGACGTGTAGCAGGGCTGGGCGGTGCAGTTCAGCGTCGTGAAGAGCTGCGACATTTGGTAGATGGAGTGGGCGATGTAGGCCAGGAATACCACGCCCAGTATCGTTGAGATCGATGGCATCGCCATGTCGAAGCCTGGGCGAGATGCTGGTCGGTAGCTGGCTGATATCCGCGGTGGGTGACGTCGCAGAGCAGGGAGGGGGTGATGTCAATGCGAAAATTAGGAAAATTTTGCTTTAATTCTCAGACGGCCACATCGTAGGTAAAATGCCGGTGCTCCTAGGGCTGCACAATCTAACAAAAACTACATACACTCGAAGTTCTCTATGACGTACTTCCATACAACGGATTTTACGAATTATTTTAAGGCAAAATAAACTTTAAAAAAATGTATTTTCAGGAATTATATATTACATATTTTCCGTATAACGAACTTTTTTTTGGGTCCCTTGAGATTCGCTATATGGAAGCTCGACTGTATTTTGAATTAAAAGCACATCAGTAACCCTCAGAGATATACCAAAATATACCGATAAAAAAGCGATTTTAGCCCACTAAAGCCCCCTTTATTTTATTAGGTGAACAGCTAGAGGTAAACAGCGACGAATGGTACCGGTTGTAATGCATCTTTTAGATCTAGTTTATCCTTTCTTTTAACTTACAAAAAACCCCACGATATCTTTTAACTGAGCTGCGCTAAAATTCTTTAAGCTTAATAACTTTCGTGGAGAATATTTTAATACCCACTGGTCAACAATCGGTTAATTGTTCTATGTCCACGATCGCAAGTCAAATTCCTCGATCTTCTAATTCAATTTGATAAAATTAGCTAAGAAAGACCTTCGCCATGAATACCTAACTTTATCCGATTGATGAATTCCTTTTCTTTTTTTTTGTTTAAATTAGGTTTAAACAAAAAATAGTCAAAGCACAAACGTAATGGAATGTAACTTAAGTGTATTGCACCTTACGTAATTGTTGCTGGTTAACAGCTATCGCTGAGTATGGACATATTTATACTGTCGAACGCCATCAAAGTCTCGACTTGAAAAATGAGGCCGATTTTTGGCAAATTTAATGATGTAACCATCATGATCATCATCAAATCAAATCAATGGCAGACTGCCGCAAATCTCTGCACGAGATGGCTCAGCAATTTGCTATTAGCCTGATTTGGGTCCCGGGCCACCGGGACATCGAGGGCAACTGTATAGCGGACGAGCTGGCCAGATCTGGCATTACAATCACCCTTCTCCAAGACAAGGAGGATATCTGTATGCCAATGGCCACCTATAAGCTTATTATAAAAGAGCAATACAAGCGACTAACAAACGATACGTGGCAAATAGTGCCATGATGTCGCATAACTCGGCAAACATGGCCGACCATGGACAAGAAGCGCACCTCCGAGCTCTGCAAGCTAAGCAGGAAAAGCTCAGCGTAGTCATACGCTCCCTCACGGGACACTGGCTAACAAGCTGGGGGCCCCACATAACGATTTTTGTCGCAGCTGTAGAGACGAGGAAGAGGAGGAGACAGTGGAACACTTGTTCTGCTCCTGCCCAGCTCTCAGCAGAAGAAGGCTAAAGCACTTGGGCTCAGCCTTTCTGAACGACATTTCAGAGATGTCAAAACCATGTCCCAGGAAGATAGCAAACTTTGTGAGAGCATCTGAATGGGATAATTTCTGACAGTAAGTCTCACAACGCGGGAAGGAATGATCCTATGCGGTATCACAACGGGACGAAATCGCCCTAAGTGTGACGGGCTCTGAGCGAGCCCGGCAGCCGCCTCAACCTAACCTAACCTAACCATCATGATTTTTTGCGAAAATCGTGAAAAAATGGATGTCACTTTTTCGGATGCCAGTCGACAGGAAGGACTCTCTTGACCATAAAAAGACATGCAACGCCTCGATCGGCTGCCGTATCACAGAGATATAGAAATGCAGAAAGATATGCAGCAAAACCAGTATCTCAAAGATATGCACATCCAAATTTTCGGAAGGCTATATCTCAAACAAATTAGGACAGATGGACAGGACAGGACTTACTCTCCCAAGACCGTGGGAGTCCTGCCTGTCGAGTGCCATCAAAATCTCGACTTCGGAAAGGAGGCCGATTTTTGGCAAATTTAATGATGTAACCATCATGATTTTTTGCGAAAATCGTGAATAAATGGATGTCCCTTTTTCGGATGGCAGTCGACAGGCAGGACTCTCTTTACCATAAAAAGAGTTGCCACGCTCCGATCGGCTGCCGTATCACTGAGATATAGCGTGCCGGAAAACCACTATCTCAAAGATACATATGCACATCCAAATCTTCGGCAGGCTAAATCTCACTCAAATAGAGCCAGATCGGCACAGGACCTACTCTTCCAGGACCGTGGGAATCTTGCCTGTCGACTACGATGGCAGTCGACAGGCAGGACTCTCTTTACCATAAAAAGACATGCCACGCCTCGATCGGCTGCCGTATCACTGAGATATAGCGTGCCGGAAAACCACTATCTCAAAGATACAAATGCACATCCAAATCTTCGGAAAGCTATATCTCAAACAAATAGGGCCAGATCGGTACAGGACCTACTCTCCCAGGACCGTGGGAATCCTGCCTGTCGACTATCATCAAAATCTCGACTTCGGAAAGGAGGCCGATTTTTGGCAAATTTAATGATGTAACCATCATGATTTTTGGCAAATATCGTGAGAAAAATGGATGTCCCTTTCTCGGATGGCAGTCGACAGGCAGGACTCTCTTTACCATAAAAAGACATGCCACGCCTCGATCGGCTGCCGTATCACTGAGATATAGCGTGCCGGAAAACCGCTATCTCAAAGATACAAATGCACATCCAAATCTTCGGAAAGCTATATCTCAAACAAATAGGGCCAGATCGGTACAGGACCTACTCTCCCAGGACCGAGGGAATCCTGCCTGTCGACTACCATCAAAATCTCGACTTCGGAAAGGAGGCCGATTTTTGGCAAATTTAATGATGTAACCATCATGATTTTTTGCGAAAATCGTGAATAAATGGATGTCCCTTTTTCGGATGGCAGTCGACAGGCAGGACTCTCTTTACCATAAAAAGAGTTGCCACGCCCCGATCGGCTGCCGTATCACTGAAATATAGAAATGCAGAAAGATATGCAGAAAAACCAGTATCTCAAAGATATGCACATCCAAATCTTCCGAAGGCTTTATCTCAAACAAATAGGGCCAGATCGGTACAGGAACTACTCTCCCAGGACCGTGGGAATCCTGCCTGTCGACTACCATCAAAATCTCGACTTCGGAAAGGAGGCCGATTTTTGGCAAATTTAATGATGTAACCATCATGATTTTTTGCGAAAATCGTGAATAAATGGATGTCCCTTTTTCGGATGGCAGTCGACAGGCAGGACTCTCTTTACCATAAAAAGAGTTGCCACGCCCCGATCGGCTGCCGTATCACTGAAATATAGAAATGCAGAAAGATATGCAGAAAAGCCAGTATCTCAAAGATATGCACATCCAAATCTTCCGAAGGCTTTATCTCAAACAAATAGGGCCAGATCGGTACAGGAACTACTCTCCCAGGACCGTGGGAATCCTGCCTGTCGACTACCATCAAAATCTCGACTTCGGAAAGGAGGCCGATTTTTGGCAAATTTAATGATGTAACCATCATGATTTTTTGCGAAAATCGTGAATAAATGGATGTCCCTTTTTCGGATGGCAGTCGACAGGCAGGACTCTCTTTACCATAAAAAGACATGCCACGCCTCGATCGGCTGCCGTATCACTGAGATATAGCGTGCCGGAAAACCACTATCTCAAAGATACAAATGCACATCCAAATCTTCGGAAAGCTATATCTCAAACAAATAGGGCCAGATCGGTACAGGACCTACTCTCCCAGGACCGTGGGAATCCTGCCTGTCGACTACCATCAAAATCTCGACTTCGGAAAGGAGGCCGATTTTTGGCAAATTTAATGATGTAACCATCATGATTTTTTGCGAAAATCGTGAATAAATGGATGTCCCTTTTTCGGATGGCAGTCGACAGGCAGGACTCTCTTTACCATAAAAAGAGTTGCCACGCCCCGATCGGCTGCCGTATCACTGAAATATAGAAATGCAGAAAGATATGCAGAAAAACCAGTATCTCAAAGATATGCACATCCAAATCTTCCGAAGGCTTTATCTCAAACAAATAGGGCCAGATCGGTACAGGAACTACTCTCCCAGGACCGTGGGAATCCTGCCTGTCGACTACCATCAAAATCTCGACTTCGGAAAGGAGGCCGATTTTTGGCAAATTTAATGATGTAACCATCATGATTTTTTGCGAAAATCGTGAATAAATGGATGTCCCTTTTTCGGATGGCAGTCGACAGGCAGGACTCTCTTTACCATAAAAAGACATGCCACGCCTCGATCGGCTGCCGTATCACTGAGATATAGCGTGCCGGAAAACCACTATCTCAAAGATACAAATGCACATCCAAATCTTCGGAAGGCTATATCTCAAGCAAATAGGGCCAGATCGGTACAGGACCTACTCTCCCAGGACCGTGGGAATCCTGCCTGTCGACTAATATCAAAATCTCGACTTCGAAAAGGAGGCCGATTTTTGGCAAATTTAATGATGTAACCATCATGATTTTTGGCAAATATCGTGACAAAATGGATGTCCCTTTTTCGGATGGCAGTCGACAGGCAGGACTCTCTTTACCATAAAAAGACATGCCACGCCTCGATCGGCTGCCGTATCACTGAGATATAGCGTGCCGGAAAACCACTATCTCAAAGATACAAATGCACATCCAAATCTTCGGAAAGCTATATCTCAAACAAATAGGGCCAGATCGGTACAGGACCTACTCTCCCAGGACCGTGGGAATCCTGCCTGTCGACTACCATCAAAATCTCGACTTCGGAAAGGAGGCCGATTTTTGGCAAATTTAATGATGTAACCATCATGATTTTTTGCGAAAATCGTGAATAAATGGATGTCCTTTTTTCGGATGGCAGTCGACAGGCAGGACTCTCTTTACCATAAAAAGAGTTGCCACGCCCCGATCGGCTGCCGTATCACTGAAATATAGAAATGCAGAAAGATATGCAGAAAAACCAGTATCTCAAAGATATGCACATCCAAATCTTCCGAAGGCTTTATCTCAAACAAATAGGGCCAAATCGGTACAGGAACTACTCTCCCAGGACCGTGGGAATCCTGCCTGTCGACTACCATCAAAATCTCGTCTTCGGAAAGGAGGCCGATTTTTGGCAAATTTAATGATGTAACCATCATGATTTTTTGCGAAAA